TCTTCTGCCTCTTCTAGCTTTCCCTGACACTCTAACACTATTGCAAGGTTATTGAAGCTATCAAGCGTGTTTAGGTGCTCACGCCCAAATATCTTCTCATATCCTTGCAGCGCTTCCCGATGCATTTCTTCTGCCTCTTCTAGCTTTCCCTGATGCTNTAACACTACTGCAAGGTTATTAAGACTAGTAAGTGTTTCTAGGTGCTTACGCCCATATACATTCTCTGCGATCTCCAATGTCGATTTGCATAGTTCTTCTGCAATTCCGTTATTCCCCATTAGAAAATAGTATCTCGCAGCCCTCAACAAAACTGTTTCCCGCATTTCCAACACGTCTTTATCTGTCGTGGCATAGCTTGTAGTTTCTGTCAAGTGCGGCAGCAGCACTCGACACTCCTCCCACGTCCCGTACTCCCCACTTGGAAAAACCATATGCATAGCTCGTGTCGACTCTTCAACCCACTTATCAATCTCCTTCTCCTTCTCTAACCATTTTCTCATCGACAGCTGGACCAAGCGATGCATCGTAACTGCCTGCTGCCCAACCTCAACCTTTACGAAAGAGAAACCGAGTAGTGGTGCCAGAGCATCGTTGAATTCCAGTTCGCTAGTCGTACCTTGCACTAATTTCTGTGGGATACCTTGCTTGTGGTACATGCTCATAAGTGCAAGTAGGTCCGCTGCCGATCGCTTCGTCTTTCGAATGTGCTCAAACGAGATCTGCCATGTTGCTATCACTGCATGCCGTATGCTTGGATCGCGCCGAATGTCCTTCCACTCGTCTTTGCTAAGCAAGTGCATCTGATTGGTATCGCTTTCGCGAAATAGATTTAGATAATCGCCTATCGTAAACTCTTCTCCTAGTTCTTGGATATATGCTGCAGCATGTGTGATGGCTAGCGGAATGTACTCCAGGTCATGAACGAGCGCCTTGGCATCTGCTGGATCTGAATTTGTAGATGAAACCTTGGTGTGAAGTAGTGCCACTGCGTCTTCTTCGCTCATCGGCTTTACCTTGATGGTACCGCCATGTCCGCCCACAAGATTGGTTGCTGCAATATGGTTTCTTGACGTGATCAGGATTGTCCCGTGGGTCGTCTGTGGAAGATAGCTCGCAAGCGAACCACCTTCCTGATCACTGCTGAAGAAAATGTCAGTTTCGTCAACGTTATCCAATATCATCAGCCATTGCCCATTTTGACTGTCCAACAACCACTCATGTACAAGCTGTAGCACATCTGTCTTGGGATCGTCCCATCCAGGCAAATGAAGCTTTTTAGCAATTTTTTTGTATCCCTGTTGGAACTTTTCGGAACTACTCGCGTGTATCCAGATGACCATCATGTGGGGTGTTTCCTTGTGGGTTCGATATGCATACTCAATTGCGATTTGTGATTTTCTAAAAACGTCTTAGTGCACTTTCTACAAAGAAGAAAGATGTAAATACTGACCCCACACCCCCAAGACCAACGAGGGCTACGCGCGTGTGCGAAGGTGTAGCTTTTCTGCGCTTTTTTATCTCGCTGATTTCGTCTTCTCGTCCGATGAAGAAATCATCTTGCGAAAAAGGGAGCATGAACAAAGCTTTGCTTGCTAGTAATAGAAATGACCGGTAAGCTTTGTGTCTTACAGTAATCTATGGAGTATGATCTTACGTACAAGCAGCATCTGCCAGTCCCAGAGCAGCGCCTTCAGAGATGGAAGGCGTCTGTTGGTTCTTCAGTTCCTGTTTTACATATGCTTTCAAAACACCAGAGACGGCGCGGTATACCTGGTCATCTCTACTTATGCACCTAGCCATTTGCATGTGGTTCGCGTCGATGCTCTCGACAGTCTCAAATTCTCGCGGAAGGTCGAGCTTAGAAGAGAAGTTGTCCACCACCTAGAATTGTCAGCTTCTCCCAGAGGTTTCTGTATCATGCTTACCTTTCCTTCCAATCCACTCACGCCTGTGACGCCTCGTGCTTCCTGGAAGGAATGAACCTTGAATTTGCCTTTGGACGCGATCTGCTTGAACTCTTCGTGGATATTATCCAAAACTTCGTTGTTCACTTCCAGTGTCTCAAGAATCTTCTTGTTTGAGTCTTGCATCGCTACACGAGCAAGATTCGATGCAATCTGACCCCAGCCTGCATACTCGCTGCCCCGATGCGGCGTTCCGAGAAAGACGATGAATCTTGTCCGCTCTTGCGTGGTCTCCGATCGGCGGATGGCCTGCAGCAACAAAGTCAGCAGCGCTGATGTAGCCTATCACACTGTAGGCTCCTTACATCTTTAAGTATGATTCCACCAAGACTATGCACTACGAATACGAGAGGTTTCTGTAACGTGTTCAGATAAAATCTTGGAGGGATCTAATGACTAGCCCAGCTCATACCTCGTTGCAAATCTCTCGCTCCAGCCTAACAGACAAATCTTGACCATGCTGTGAGATGCTATTCTTGTTGTTGGCTTTGAACAGACCGCCAATAACGTCTGCATTGTATCCGTACGTCCACACGCAGGCCTGAGGGATGTCTGGTACGAGATACTCTTCTGGCCAGAAGATGCGACATGGCGATGATGGAGCGGAGATTGAGGGAGAATCTTGCATCTGTGATAATTCTGGTACATGAGACTTGGCCGATCGCCGTTGGAAAAAAGATCGTATCGGGAGACTTTTGGACTTCTTGGTAGCATCGTTGCCGACATTACTTGGGGTTGCAACTCCTTCCCACGTTCGTCGAGGATGGCCTCGCAAGCCATGGATGAATATGATGCTGAACGGTGTCAGTGATTTTGCCAAAAATGTGGATGCGATCGTACTTCACGCAAAACTCGTCGTCGTTCTGTGTGCTGGGTGTCAGCCTTGTGAAGTCGAGCCGGTGCACGGCAGCACGGGGTGGTGCCATAGAAGTTGGGCTGGTCGGCCAGCACAGTACGTTCATTTAGTGAGCTGTATCGAATCTGTTAAAGATGGCGAATCCATCTATTCAAGGCATGTAAAAAAGTTAAAAAACAGAAGCTTGGAGGCTGTAACCTGAATGACAGCAGAGTCAAGGCTGCATCATGCAGTTTCGACTGCAGCCACGGCGGCTAAATTGCGAGCAACTCGATAGAAGAAACAGACGAGATGAAAAAAAACAAATAGAGCAGAAAACGTACAGAAATGTCGATGAGGGTACACTGAGTAACGTACATACCAAGTTGGTGTTTACTTACATTGGCCGACTTTCTCCACCTTCCTTCTCTTCCCCCATCCTGCCTTCCTTCTCAGGCCTCCAACACTCCACAACCATCACCCAACCCCCCCCCTCGACCCCCCAAAAACAGCAAACACAGAGCCACCCACCAAAAGGCAAGCGCAAGCAAGTAAACAAGAAAACATCAACCCCCCCAAAAACGCATCCAAACATCCATAAAGGAATTAAATTCGACTCTCAGGATATATCCACCAACCACACTCCTGTACTCCATTTCTCCACCCACCACTTTCCTCATCTTAACCTGCCAGACTATCAAAAAAAACACTCCTTCCTTCACTTGCCATGTTTCCACCACAAAAACCTAAACTTCGTATTTTCCTTTTTTTTTTACCCCACTACACTCAGCTTTCTCTTCCAACTTTTCTCCTTGCTTGCTTTCAACCGAAAAAAAAGAAAGACGTGAAGAAGATGAAGAAGATGAAGAAGAAAAAAAAAGTGGCACACACAAAAGGCGAAGGCGAAGGTGGGGAAGAAGAAGACGAGCAACAACAAGCAACAAGCAGCAACAACAACATGTATATAGACGACCACATATAATCATCATCTACCTCTTCTCATCCCTCCCCAACCCAGCCTCAAGCGCAAGCGGCGTCTTCTGGTTCTCCCCTGCCTGTCCCCCACTCTCCTCACTACCAGCAGCAGGTCTCCTTCCAATACGTTGAAGCCAGCACTCTGCACTCTGCACCGTTCCATCCACGACCGTCGTAATTTGGCCCATCATGTCGAGCCCCTCCTTTGCAAATGCCAGCATACGGTTTGCGCCGCGGACTTCGTCGCCGCCGCCGCCGCTGCTACTGCCACTGCCGCCACTAGCGTTGCGGCTGGCGAGTTGCCAGCGCTGGGGCACGGAGAGGAGTTGGGTGCGGACGACGGTTTGGGCGTTTTGCGGAAGGGCGCCGCCGGTGTAGCGGGAGACGGATTGCACGACTGATTGGAGGGTTTGCCAAATTTCCGAGGAGAGTTCCTTGATGCGGTCGGCGAAGCGGCGGACTTGGTCGTCCTTGTCGGAATCTACGAGGCCCATTTGCGCCATGTTGCCATTGAGCTGGGCTTTTTCGTCTTGGGCAATGTTGTGGTTGTTGCTGTTGGACGAGGATTCCCTTTGGTTGCGCAGCGCGGCTTCGTATTCTTCCAAGACCAGCTTGAGTGCACGCATGACTGAGTCAATGTGTGTTGTTGCGCTGCGGAGGAGACCAAGACAGATTTTCAGGGAGCGCAGTGATGTCTCGGACAGAGCAACACCAAGGCCAGAGGTTGTCATAATGAGCTGTGTAGACCAGTTTACGCGGCGGTCTTGCGGGGTCTCGGATCGTTGTTCTGGTGCTTTTTGTCCAGTCGCGTCTCCCGATACAATCGCCTCTTCGTAGTTTGGAGATCTCTGATCATCGTAGGCTGGAAGCGATTCAGAATAAGAAGATTGAGATCCCCCTCTTGTTCGCGACGCTGCCGCAAGTGCATCATCTACATCCATGGCATCGTCGGCGGGGCTCGCAATCCTCTGTCTCTTGCTTCTAGAACTGTCGCTGTCACCCTGTTCAAGATCGCTAGGCCGGCGATGTCCTTCACCCAGGTAACGGCGCAGGCTCTTTTCCATGCCAGTTCTTCTGCCTACGGACGAAACAGTATTTACTACAGGCGATCCAATATTACGTTCCAGTAGTTCGGCGCCATATTGGACTAGACGCGGCGTGTAACCTTTTGTCGTATTGTAAGCGGATATGGAGCCATTGATGGAACTTCCCAGCCATGGGTGATTCGAGGTGATTAGCGACAGAAGTGGTTCCGGTGGTTCAGCAGTGGGTGAGCGGGCAGACAATGTGAGGGATCGTGCCGTGGGAGAACGGACAAAGTCTATAGCCTGTAGTTAGTGCATGCTTACTGTTTGCCCATGAGGGCACCACCCCCCACATACCTGGGTTGCCCAGTCCGCTTAGCGCCTCGGCTGCCAATCGTACATCTGGGTCATCCATACTGACGCTCGTTTCTCGTATACTCGATGTGTCCATGGGGCTTCCTACTTCTTCGCGCGGCAGGCTTTCTGGCACGCTCGGGAACGTAGTGCCATTTGGGGCAGGCAAGACGCCCCAATGCGATGCCTCGAAATTTGTGCGCGGACTGTATTCTACCGAGGCGTGTGGCATGTGACGTGGTTTGGTCTCGGGCAGATGCAGCGACTTGATGCCTGGGAGTCTTGCATTGTCGGGGTGATGGTTGTGAGTGGGTATATGCGTTGGTACCGAGGGCAGATGCAGCGACTCGGGCTCGTGCTGGGTGTATGCAGGCGGCGGGGCACGCTGGAGTGGGCGTTCTTGCTCCATGGTGAATTGGCAGGACGTGGTCAGAGAAGCGTGCGGGTTGTGATGCGGGCGACTAGCGGTACCCCACGTACGCTCGGTGCGCGAAGCACGACGGGACGGCGTTTTGGCAATGCGATCAGATAGTGTGCTGTGCTCGACTGGAGCGTGTTGCGCTACGTCGCGCTGCCCAGTTCCCGCGTGCGATCGCAATGCCTAGCAAAGAGTCGGAGAAGTGGGCTCGAAAGGGAATGGGGGCTCAGCGGGAGCGGAATCGGATGCCGGGGCGCAGGAGCGCAAAATGAGAGGGGACGCAGCAATGATGTTGTTCAGGGGAGTGGGCGGCTGGTCACGCACGAGGCAGAGGCAGCATGGCAGTGCGAGCAGAAGGGTGGCAGGATGGATTGGCCGGGCTACGGCATAGCTGAGCGGATGTACGGCCAAGATGCGAGGGGAGCAGACGACGGCGATGGCAATGGGAGCCAGACGAGAGCGCCCGGCGGCAGCAAATTGGGGGTCACCACAAAAGCCATGATTCTCACATGTCAGTCCTATCACATGTCACCGGCGATCCACCCACAGTCCACGCCACCCACTCTCGCTTGGCAACGCAAACGAGACGACAAGGCCCGTCGTCCCGTCAGACACGAGGGGCTACGCCCCGGCGCTGTCTCCTTTTTTCTTACTTACATACTACATGTATATACACAGTCTACGATGAGCCCCCGACTGCGCTGCTCTGCTCCGCTCCGAGTGGGCATCAAGCCGCACTACCCCATCCTTGGCCAGGCCGGGGACTACTTATACACATTGGCCGCCGGGCACATGGCGTAATGGCGGCGGATCCTTTGTCAGCCTCGTCTTGCACCATGCCTCACCCCTCGGTTTTGCACGTGTAAATCTGGTCAAGCTTCCCCACATGTGTGTTTGTAAAGCTCCGATAGCCGCAAGTGGCAACATCCCAGAAGCAGTAATTTCCACACCAGCAATGGGGCAATGAGCGTTTCAACTCTACTACTTACTGCGCATGTAGCCCTCACACAATGCTTATACTACACCGACCCCTTTGTCCGCCGCAGACATTGAAAAGCAACCTACCTGTCCATCACGTGAACGCCAAAATTGATGCAACCACGCACCCGCCTACACATATGCACATACACAACAACCCCCATGGCAAGACCAAATTTGACCATTATTAGGCATTATCTGTCATTCGAGTATCTTGTACAACGCGTGCGTGGACTGCCCATGTCAAAGCCCAATCCCAACACCACCGTTGTCCTAATGCAATCCGACCGACCAACCATGCTCTTTACATGCTTTTATCGTAACACGGGGCAAGCCAAAACCGTCCCACCCCACACATAACAATTACAATAAGTATCAAAATTGCCGACCTCAAATGGCCATGGCGCATCAAGAACGAAGTCATAGGAGCCAGGCCTAACTGGTAGCTCCTCTAGCCAAGCATGGTGCGCCCCCAGCTGCGCCTCTATTAGCTTGCGCAGCCACAACGTCACCCTTATGCCTTGCGGCTGCGTGTCGCCCGGCCGTTGGGAGTGCCGTTGGGCGAGGATCCAGTAGCAGCGGCGCCACGCGTGATCGAAAGACGCCTGCGAGCCTCGCCAACAGTGGGCACCTTCTCGTCCTTCATTTCCACGAGAGCGCTGGTAGCCCTGCGGCGGCCCTTGGGAATTGGCTTCTTGTATGTGGCAAAGTAGAATGCCAGGAAGAGGAACAGGTACGATGTGATGATGCAGATACCGGAGATGGCAGCAAACTCCTCGCCAGCGCACTTGCCCATGTTGGGAATGTGGGGCCAGTAGGTGCTGGTGAAGTAGGTCCACGACGCAAAGTAGATGAAGCCTAGGCGGGGTTAGCTGTTGTAATGCACCATCAAGTATGAAGCAACCTACCAAGATCAAGGACGAATTGGGTGATTTGGCCAACGGTAATGTACTTCTTCCACCAGATGCGGATGCCTCGGGCGCTCTGGAAGTAGTACCAGTACATGACAACGTGGACCGCCAAGTTTAGAGTGATGACGGGCCATGAGACGGGGGTGTGGCCAATGAGCTGGGTGTAGCAGAGGAGGGCCGTCGCGCCATGGTGGTAGGTGTGGAGGAAAGCTGGAATCCGTTAGCTTTTCGATTTCTTGACCGCCATTCGGATGCACGTACTCAAAGGCTTCTTCTTCAAGAACAGGAAGCAAGTGTCAATCAGCTCGAGGAACTTGGTGAGGTAGTTGAGCTGTCCGTTTGTTAGCATGGTCTGTAGCGGGGCGCCCGTCATGAATACGTACGTAGTAGAGGATAACCAGCTTGTCCGTCCAGCCGCCCTCATGGTCGCAGATGGCGAAGAAAAGGCCCTTCCTGACAACCGTGGGGATGATCTGCTCGGCGAAAAGCAGCAACAGTGTGCCGCTAATGGCGGTGAGGTAAAAGTTGTGCACCTTGAAAAGAAAGCTGAGCTTGAAGGGCTCGCGATTGCGCATAAGCTCCCGGCCGCCGAAAATTACAATGTAGTACACAAGAAGCGTGACAACACACGTCTTCAAGGTCGAGAGCGGTGTGACGCCCTGCTCGAAGCGGAAGTCCTGGGGCTTGTAGCCCGCAATGGGCTCAAAGACCTTTTCGAAAATGGGCCATAGAGCCAGGCCAAAAGGACGGTCAAGCGTCGGCACGCCGTATTCAAGCCATTCTGGGTTTCCCATTGTGTGTGTGTGTATGTGCGTGTGTATGAACTCGCGGGAGCAGTGGAAGATTACGGGGTTTGGCGGGAGAGGACGTCAAGTGTTTTGATTCGAAGGGCTGCGCCTATCAGGTTTGAGAGGAACAAAAGGCGTAATCAAACAATGAGCGGAGGGAAAGAAAAGACGGCAACCACGACCAAGCACACGCAAGGCGCAAAGGAACGACGAAGAAGATGTGAAGAAGCGAATCTCACACCGCGAGGAAGAGGAAGTGTTGATGAGGGTTGTGAAGAAGGGCCAGCGCCAGTTTTCTGGACTACAGCGGCGGAAAGGAGGTCGGAAATGACTGCTAGGGTCTTCCGCCATTGGCGCAGATCTGGCCTATCGAGCGGCTGCTCGTCCGCATTGCGACCCTCTGCAGACCGAGGCCAGCCCCTAGCACGCCTGCCGGTGATATCTGCCAAGTCTTACAAGTAGATGATGTGGATGCATCATGGCAGCCCGCGTACGTCTGCTTGCATGCAGTACCATGCCCACGCCCATGCCGGTACCGTCCATGGATGTTTCAAGACGCAGGCAGTCCCCGATCCAATTGCCTCGAGCCCCCATCCATGCCCCCACGTGCTCAACATGCGATTGCACCCCAACTCTCAATTCAGGTCCGCTGCCAAACTTTTGCGCACTGTGGAGAGTCCTCGACGTGGCACTCACCAAAGGGGAACAAGCGTTCCGGAAAGCTTGGCGCCCCGGATGCCGACACACCGCCCCCCTTATTGTCACTCACTGTCACTTGTCGCTCGTCTGTCGACCTCGACTGCCCCGGAACTTTGGTGTCAAGGTACCCATGTAAACACAATTCCGCATTGCTTCGTACGAACAAGCAGCATCCCAAAACCGTCCCTCCCCCCTTTTTTTCTTTTGCTCGTCATCATCATAGCATACAACTTACCCCTTGTTTTCAACGCTCGATCTCTTCACAATACTCGCCACAGACTGGGGTTTTCTCTTTTTGAAAATAGTCTTAATATTGCGTATACGTAGGTGCGCAAAAGTGAAACCCCTAGTAGGCATCACTCGCACATCTATAAGCCCTCCACAAAAACAGATCCAAAACACCTTTGTAAGAAGTAGAAAGAAACCCGTCCTTCTTTTGGGGGAGCCAGCCAGGGACCTACGCGACCGCTGAATGCCAACATGAACTACAAACCATAGTCAAAAGAGCTACACATAGACCACAAACTACATGTAATGAGACACCATCACACAAGCCACAAGCCTCAAGAGCTCGTGACTCGAGCAATGCTGCTCCCAGAGTTTGCTCTCGCTCGTCCAGAAGGCGGCCCTCGTGACGACACAGTGTGACCAGAGGACGAGTTTGGCCGACTGTTGCTACGAGGTCGACCAGCCGAACGGCGGGCACTGGATGATACATGGTGCTCCCCTGATGATGAATGGTACCGTCGCTACAAGGACACAAAGCACAAACACGTCAGATCCACTCGAACCAAAAGCAAACGCCTGGACAAGAAGAAGACAGAGAGAGTGAGAGAGTATAAAAAAAGACCTAGGAGTCTAGGAATATAATTAAGAGTACACCGATTCGGCCACACAGAATGCTCATCTCGAGTTCTAGGGACTTAAGAATCAACGTACCGAGGTTTGACTGCCTTGACGCTCATAATCTTTCGGCCGCCTGTCTCTCGATGTCGCCCCGTCGTCCTGAAGACGGAGGTTTTCCAGTCGTCCTTGAGCTGAATCGTCCACGCGCCCTGATGACTTCTCTGCCGTGCCATTTGCGCGTGATTCTGCGAGCTTGGCCAATCTGTCCCAGCGATCTTGTCGACTTTGCTGCCTTTGTGTCGCATTGTTTTGCGATTCAGCATAGTCGTGCGAGCAGTCGTCAAAGAGCTGAGGATTGACTTCCATGAATAGCTTCATAGCATTGTATACCATACCGTGAATTGTTCTACACATAATTGTTAGCCTTCACGTCTTTGCTGACGACATGGTGCTGCAGCATACCGGTTCCAGTGGCCCTTTGAGTTTTCGTACAATGGTGCAAACATGATTGGCAGAATGACCTCGACGTTGTCGCTGACAAGATTGCAGAAGTATTCGTTATTCCAGAAGTAGAGTGCTCGCTCTGCAACCTGGAAGTGGGGGCTGGCGACCGACTTGGCTAATTGATTGAACAAAGGCTCTTGCACCTTTGCGAACTCAGCAGGGTCCATGACCTCAAAAATGTCTTCAACTTCGTTCAGGAACATGACCTCCTTGGTACTGTTCACCTTGGGCCAATATCGGAGAAGACCCAAAACAACCTGCACATGTTAGCCTAGCTTGCTGGACTGGGCATCTAACCTTACCTCTTCTGTCAAAGCTGCATCCTTCTCTAGAAACTGGACAATGCAGTACGCCAGCTGTGGATGATACATACTCAGGCTCTTTACCTTGTGCAGTGGAATGAGCACCCTTGTCAGGAAAAGCTTGTGCTCTTCCTTCAAGGGCAGAGCAAAACCGTTAATGATGGAGCCGAGAATTTCGAGAAGCTCGGCAATTCCGTTAAATCGTTCCGTCTCGTAGATGAATTGGAAGAAGACATTGTTGATGGACCGACGAATGTAGGAGCGGAGGTTTAGGAATTTGCCGTATATACGATGAAGCGTCGTCTTCAAAAAGTCGCGTTCTCGGGGGTCCTCGGAATCGAAAAGCTCAAGTAGCTGGGAAGATTAGCTGCTAGACTGGTCATTGTAAAAGATCAAGTACATACGTTGAGCACAAAACTGTGGTCTATGTATGCTTTGGCAATGTTTGTGTTGAAGTCCTGGCTCTCAATGAAGCGCAGGAAGAATTCGTAGACGACTTGAATGTGCGGCCACGCAACCTCCAACACAGGCTCGTCTTCTTCGGGGTCAAAAGCCTCGCCCTGGGGGTTCATGGGCGGTGGAATGGGCCGGAACAAATTCTTGGCAAACATCTCCACGACGCGAGGATACATCTTCTCTGTTATCACCTGGCGATTGTTGGCAACGTAGTCGAGCAGCTCGTGCAGGGCCAGGCGCTTGATCTCTTTGGACTTCATATCGCCGCTGGCGTCGTTGAAATCGAAGATGATGTTGCATTGGTCGATCTTCTGCATGAACAGTTCCTCCCGCTTGTTTGGAGGTACCTCATGGAATCCAGGTAGCTTCTCCAGTTCACGTTGACGCTGATCGGAAATGTCAAAGCGTGACGAATGCTGCCTCTTTGGAGTCCTTATACCCTCGATATTGTCCTTGGGGGTCGCTTGAAGACGGTCGAATATGCCCGACTTCTGTCCCGCCTTTGGAGGCGCAAGGTCGCCAGGCATGGTCTCGGCAGCGCCAGGAGGGGGAACGTGCTGCAACAGTACTTAGTCTACGCAGGCCTTCTACATAAGTATGATGAGCAAGATTACTTACAGGAGCGCTCGGGCTGATGACGACGCTCGGCGCTAGGGGCTGCCCAAGCCTAGAAGGCGTGCCTGGACCTGCAGCACCAGCATTGCCAGGACCCATCAGGCCCTGTCCAGCAAATGACTGCTGTCCGCCTGCTAGAGAGCCCGACGAAGGCTGCTGGTTCTGTTGTAGCGACCCGAGGTGGGCTGCGGCGCCATCAGTAGCGGGCTGGCTCTTGCTTCGCGCGTCGGTGAGCTGCGTCTGTGATGAGGAAGGAGTGGCCTGGGCGGAGCCTGAGGGAGAATTCGAGGCACCGAGCGACGGCGAAGCAGTGCCCGAGTTTGAGTCCTTCTTCTTCGACGACTTTCCATCCTTGCTTCGAGAAAGCTGTTCAGACTAGACATGTTAGCCTCCGCGCATAGAGAGGGGCAGGGCGGTGGGCGGTGGCCGCAGCGCAAGGGTCCAGGGAGGAAACGGAGACTTACGACCCTTTGCCGGAAACCCTTCATGATTGTGCAGGAGCGCTCAGGGCCAGGTCAAGCGCTGCGGAGGTGTCTGCGGAGACGGGCGTCCGAAATTGAGGCGGGCCTCTGGGCGTGTATCGAGGGGGGTCGCAATCCAAGAGCGCCAATGGGGTGCCAGAAGAGGAGCGCAGGCAGGGGAAATGACGACTAGGCAGGCGTGCAAGTCAGGTCGACATGGAGGACGAGGGGACGCGTGAGATGGTGGATGGAGGCTAGTGTGTAGCCGTCTTGGGATGCAGCACGGGGAGTCGGTGGAGGGCAGAGCTCGCGAGAGGGGGGAGGGAACAGAAGGCAGCTGAGGGGAGCCCCAACAACGGCGTGGTGACGTAGAGGCGAACCGGCAGAGAGAGCGAAGCGTGTAACTGAAGAGCTGGAGATGGGAGACTGAGCAGGTCGTCAACTGACAACTCAGGGCTGCTGCCAGACAGACGGCGTCGAGTGATTCGCGCTAGCCGTCCCGTAGCGAGGCCGTGCGTTTGGGATCTCGAGAGCCCCGCCGCGGCCGTCACGACATCATATACCCGCAAAGCACATGTACATGCACACGGCCATGCGGCCACGGGCGCCTTGAGAGACGCGGGCGAGGGGGGACACACATAGACGACAAATAGGCTTTGGCGGCGTTGCAAGGCTGCACGTCACCTGACCACCCGCGCCCACAGCGAGCCGTAGCCACATCTCCGGCACCATAGTATACAGTACCTAGAGGGACGCTGCGAACAGGTCCTCGCATGCCCATGGTCTGTGTGTGTGCGCCCTACTTGATAGTGCTTCCGCCGTGCTCGCGCAGACTCTGCAAACACAACCACACGAGAGACTGCGTGTATACTCTGTACCGCGTGAACAAAAAAATCCGTTGCAGTGCGCCATGAGCGACGAACAACCCACGCACACTGCAAACGGCGAAAGCCAGCATGCATCGTGGCTTCCTATTCCGTCGCGCGCCATCTCGGTTGTCGAGCATCCAGCCATCATCAAGAACGTGGAAAAGGGCATTGCCTCGTTGGGCGGGCCCGTCAAACTGAGCAAGGTCGGCAACAAGTCTTTGCACAACTCCATACCACACCCGCATGCTAACACGTGACCCAAGGGCCTGCGATCAAAACTGGAAACGACCGTTAATGCTGAGGGCGATGATGAACTCAAGAAACTCATCTCTGTCTCTCTTCGTCCCGACGACCCCTTCGCCAAGCGTTTGCTATCCACCCCGGTGCGCACCAACAACCTGCTCCTAAAAGTCACAGTCCCCAAGCGAACAGGTCGCAAACGAAAGCGCGGCACTGCGGGGCCCTTTCTCGCTGAAGAAGACACGGCCCGTGACAGCCATCAGACATACGTCGATGGGCCAACAATCTTCCGAAGCATCCAAGACAATGCATCCACATACAAGGTTGCTCTTGTTGGTGTGGTTGACGAGACTCACCGGTTCAGGAGTAAGTGTCAACTCCCTGATGACGTCTGACATCTTGTGCTGACTACTTAGATATGCCTGACTTGCAGTATGCCGCTTCTCACAGCGACATAATGGTCGGCTTGCGTGATCATATTCTTTCCAGACGATGTAGGATTAGCCCAAGTAGTCTCGGGACATCACTGACGCTTTGTTTTCTAGATGACAAAGTAAAGAACTACAACATCAACACAGCAGCCGGTGCAGATATTACCAAGACTGTCGGTCCATCTGCAGAGTTTCTACAGATGCCAATCGCTTTCAACTACCGGTATGGTTGCAGTTCTGCTGACCCAACGCTTACTGACTCCTGGCTAGTTTCCAGCAAAACTCCAACGTCAAATACACCGATCAGGGTGCTGTCAATGTGCAGAGAAGTCTGTCTTACAACGCATACACCATTGTCAAACCCACTGACGAGCATGTGCCAACTGGACCGGGACCCAACTTACCCGCAGAGAGGGATCTCACGCCGTATATGCAGTCGCTGATTGCCAACATCAGAGCCCTGCTCCTTGAAAGACCCATTGTCACTCGCCAGCTTCTGTACAACAGGCTTGGGTGGAGCAAGCGAACCAAACTCCGACAAGCAGCCATATACTGTGGATATTTCTTCGAGAGTGGGCCCTGGCGAGAAGCACTTGTGCGCTGGGGGGTTGACCCTCGCAAGGATCCTGAATACCGTAAATATCAAACGGTATCTTTTCTCTCGTACCTCAAATCGGGTATATCAAAACACCGCGCAGTTTTCGACCAGCACGTCATGAAGCTAGCCAAGATGTCTCCAGAAGAGCTGGAGTCTGAGCATACTTTTGACGGTGTTCATGTCTCACAAACTGGAAACCTTTTTCAATTCTGCGATATCACCGACCCTCTGATTTCGAAAATTCTTTCTACAAAGGACATCAGGACGACGTGTGCGCCGACCTTCCAAGGATGGTATCATGTGGGAACATGGGCTAAAGCGACGGTAATACTAAAAGATAAGATGAACACAATCATTGGTGGTGAGAAACCAGATGACTCAATCTACCAGCGTATTCTCAGTTGGCCTGAACTATGGGATGACAAGGAAATGGCAGCTCAATATAAAGCAGAGATCGACGACCGCCAGATACACCAAGAGAAGAGGAGAGAGCATCAGGTTATGCACAATGTCCGTTGGGCTGCAAGAAACCCGCGATACACTTTTGAGAAGATGGAAGCAGAAAATGAACAGGAAAGAGAAGCGAATGATGTGGAAAATTTGGAGGATGTTGATGTTCCCGAAGACATGACAGAAGATCCCGTCATGGCTGACACGGTTTTGGATGCAGACCTCGACGCAGACGACGAAAGTGCTGAACCAGGTGGCGAGGGTGACGATGGCGACTATGAAGATAAAGAAGATGCAATGCAAGATGACGAGCCGGACGAGGACATGTATGGGAGCTCCGATGGTGAAGACGACAATGATAGCCCTATCATGTCTGTTCGAGCTACGTCCGAAGGGCCCGCGCCTTTTGGAGGATACTATAGGGTATAGGAGATACTAGCATAACGCCCATAGATATCACTGAGGAATTTTGAGCTTTGTATTATTCACTATTATTGAGTCATTGCAACTGTGAGTTGAAAATGACTCTTTCATTGACGATCTGGCTACGTACTGCAAACCCCCACACACAGGTTGGGAACACGTAAATTATAAACAGCGCGCTCAAATTCAATGGATCACCGTAGCATCAACAACTCGTTGACATTTATCTATTTCAAGGAAACTAGTACACTTGGTACACAGTAAATATATGGGGGGTGTAGGGACTATGATTTCAGCCTTGGGTATAGTAGTAGTAAGAGCGACCCACTTTTCCATGCTTGGCTTGGGTGCAACTCGGATCGTCTGAGCTTTCGTTTTCATAACCTCACGCGAAATCGCACCACCACCGACATCACCCCTCGCCCACGCAACGCCGGCTCAACCGTCCAGTAGCCCCCCTCATCACCTCGAAAAGCTAGCCGCCAGCTAATTGAACCGCATCATGCTCTTCATGCGCGCCGCGTCAAAGGTCAGCCGGGTGGCAGTCCCGGCCTACCGAGCACCTACTGTTGCATTGAACGCTCAGCGCACCTTCTCGCAGTCGGCTATCCGAAAGAGCGATGCGCACGCCGAGGAGACATTCGAGGAGTTTACCGCCAGGTACGAGGAATCCATGGAGGGGCTCGGACGATTGGGAGAAATAGTGGGACCACGGACAACGGACAGCCATTGGGTTCGATTAACCGCATCTAGAGCTGCAGCGCTGACTTTTGTGTCTTCATTGCAGGTATGAGAAGGAGTTCGAGAAGGTCAATGATGTTTTTGAGCTTCAGGTACGTTTGTTGTGACCCAGCATATGGCCCGCCCCGGTATCACCCGAGCTGCATTGAGCCAGCTGGTGAACTGCTGTAAACAAGAGCTATGCGCTGACACATCGTAGCGAAACCTGAACAACTGCTTCGCCTACGATCTCGTTCCCTCCCCTGCAGTCATCACTGCTGCTCTCCGCGCTGCCAGGCGTGTCAATGACTTCCCCTCGGCTGTCCGAGTTTTCGAGGGTACGTTTCTCATTGTACCCCCGCGCATGCATATCTGGACGGTTTACGTAGCGGCGGGGCGTGGAACATGTCACAGGATGATGCGACCATTGGGTGTGACCAGCCACGGAGTTTTGATTACTAACATACGTCACAGGTATCAAGTTCAAGGTGGAGAACAAGGGCCAATACGCCGAGTACCTTCAGGAGCTTGAGCCAATACGCGAGGAGCTTGGTATCCCCCTCAAGGAGACCCTCTATCCTGAGGAGAAGTAGATTGCAGGCTGGTATGCTCGCTATCCGATTATCTCATTCTTGACATCGAATACTTCGGAGCGCCCAATGTAAATGCCATATTTCAATTTTCTTTACTAGACAGAAGACCGGAAGCGAACGTGGCATGTATCACTGTGTGATGTATTTGCAGCATGAACGGTGGTCAACGTATGCCAAGGCGGGTTGTGGTGGTGCAGAGTGCAGATATTTAGATGCAGCAGGTAGATGAAAAGAGATTTGCAAGTTCAAATTCCTTTAGTTCATTTTCGATGTCTTGATATGTTGGGAGGCATGTGTGATACTACGACTATCACATGCCTTTGTTGGAACATGCAAACATCTCCAGTCAGGGTTGCAGTCATCAACACATTTGCTGGCGGACACGATAGGCTCAATGCCACAGACCGGGGATTTGTAAACGCCGATGGCGCTAAGCCCAACTCGCACAGATGCAGGGGCAAATCAATCCAATCAGCGGCAGGCAGCCACGGAACTTGCCGGTTCAGAGTCCAGGGCATTCCCACCTCTGCGACCGGTCGTCAGTTGAGTGCTCTGCAGAGCTCAAGACGCGACCTCAACCAGCACCTGCTGGACGCGCCTTCCCACCCCACCACCAGTCCTCGTTCTCTCATAACGATTTTAATGACCAACCGGGCCATCTAGCCTATCCCTTCTTTTTCACATTTTAATATTCCCCATTGCAGCCACCTGCCGCTGTTCCTATACACAACTGCGCCGTTACCAGAGCAAATGCGCCTGCCTTCTGCCACACCGGCCGCGCAACCCACAGAGTAAACACGACACTGTACGGCGCAGCCTGAGAGGTCTCCAAACAAGGGGAGCAGCAGCTGTGGGCTGCAAACATCCTCATCATGGCGTCTCACAACTTTGAGGCCATGGCCTCCAAACTGGACGACCCTAACTCTGGTAACGAGACATTTTAGACCCGACAGCCGCGATCGCGTGCGATCGCGCATATCAAGAAACTTAAACAGACGCTGACTGTGACACAGATCTGAGGGCAAAGGGCACCCAGGCCATTGAAATCCGGGACAACATCGAGAGCTACTGCCAAGGACCGCAATACAGCGCATTCCTGAACCACCTAGTTCCCGTGTTTCTCAAAATACTCGATGGCAATCCAGTATTCATATCCACATCGCCCGAACAGGTGAGCGCAAAACCCGCCGCCATAAGACAGCCTTCTGACTCAGAAACAGCGGATACGAAACTGCATCCTCGAAATCCTGCACCGCCTGCCCATGAACCCGGCCGAGGCGATCGAACCGCATGCCGCTAAGATTGTGGATAAGCTTATGAGTCTGGTCAAATTGGAAAATGAAGACAATGCGGTTTTGTGCATGAAGACCATTATGGATTTCCAGCGCCACCAGACTAAAGCCCTCGCGGACCGCGTTCAACCTTTCCTCGACCTGATCCAAGAAATGTTTGAGACAATGGAGCAAGCCGTGCACGACACATTCGATAGCAGTGCGCCTGGGTCAACCTCGTCAGGCGTCCCCTCGACCCCGAACAATCACCAGTTTTCGCAATCTCCTCGTCCCAATTCACCAGCAACCACGCTAAGTTCCAGCTCCGCGGGCGATCTTGGCTCCGAGCACCAGCAGACGCGCATGCTGCTCAAGGGAATGCAGTCGTTCAAGGTTCTTGCAGAGTGCCCAATCATTGTGGTATCACTATTCCAGGCCTACCGGAACTGCGTGAACAAGAACGTAAAACTCTTTGTTCCGCTCATCAAAAATGTGCTTTTGCTCCAGGCGAAGCCGCAAGAGAAGGCGCATGAGGAGGCCAAGGCCCAGGGCAAGATTTTTACTGGTGTCAGCAAGGAGATTCGGAATCGAGCCGCTTTTGGCGATTTCATCACAGCTCAGGTTAAGACCATGAGCTTCCTGGCATATCTCCTCCGAGTCTACGCAAATCAGCTGAATGATTTCCTGCCAACATTACCGGATATCGTCGTGCGCCTTCTCAAGGACTGTCCGCGGGAAAAGTCCGGGGCGCGCAAGGAGCTACTGGTAGCTATTCGGCATATCATCAACTTCAACTTTCGCAAAATCTTTCTGAAAAAGATTGACGAGCTACTGGACGAGAGAACCTTGATTGGAGACGGACTTACCGTGTACGAAACCATGCGCCCGCTTGCATATAGTATGCTTGCAGATCTCATTCACCATTTGCGAGATTCGCTTTCAAAGGAACAGATTCGCCGCACAGTCGAGGTGTACACAAAGAACCTGCACGACAGCTTCCCGGGGACCAGTTTTCAGACTATGAGTGCGAAACTGCTTCTGAACATGGCAGAGTGCATCGCAAAATTAGAGCCCAAGGAAGATGCTCGGTACTTCTTGATCATGATTCTCAATGCCATTGGGGACAAATTTGCCGCTATGAACCGCCAGTACCACAACGCTGTCAAACTCTCGGCACAGTACAGCCAACCATCAATTGAGGCGATTGACGAAAATCACATGGCCGTTCAGGACAGCCCCCCAGACTGGGATGAGATTGACATCTTCAACGCGACGCCCATCAAGACATCGAATCCCCGAGACCGAAGTTCTGACCCGATTGCTGACAACAAGTTCTTGTTCAAGAACCTATTGCACGGGCTCAAAAATCTCTTCTACCAGCTGCGAGCGTGCAACCCGGCCAAGATCAAAGAAGAGATCGACCCAGCAAATGCGTCGGCCAATTGGCATGAAGTGTCCTTTGGCTACAATGCCGAAGAGGTTGAGGTTCTCATCAAACTTTTCCGTGAAGGTGCCAAAGTGTTCCGCTATTATGGCACTGACAAGGCGCCTGAGACTCAAGGAATGTCACCAGGAGATTTCATGGGCAACCAGCATATGATGTCGAGCGGCAAAGAAGAGAAGGATCTACTGGAGACGTTTGCTACAGTTTTCCACCACATTGACCCAGCCACATTCCACGAAGTGTTTTCATCCGAGATACCCCATTTGTACGATATGATGTTCGATCACCCGGCATTGCTCCACGTTCCACAGTTTCTTCTTGCTTCCGAGGCCACATCCCCCAGTTTTTCGGGCATGTTGCTACAGTTCCTCATGGATCGGATTGAAGAGGTTGGCACTGCGGATGTCAAGAAGTCATCCATTATGCTTCGCCTCTTCAAGTTGTCCTTTATGGCAGTCACACTCTTTTCTGCTCAAAACGAGCAAGTCCTCTTGCCGCACGTCAGCAAGATCATCACAAAATCTATTCAGCTATCAACGACTGCCGAGGAGCCCATGAACTATTTCCTCCTGCTCAGGTCGCTCTTTAGGAGTATTGGCGGTGGTAGGTTTGAGCATCTATACAAGGAGATTCTTCCCCTTCTAGAGATGTTGCTGGATGTTCTCAACAACCTTTTATTGACGGCGCGCAAGCCTGCAGAAAGGGACTTATTCGTTGAGCTTTCTCTTACGGTACCTGCGAGATTGAGTAACCTTCTACCACATCTTAGCTACCTGATGAGACCGCTGGTCGTTGCTTTGCGAGCTGGATCTGATCTTGTAGGTCAAGGGCTTCGTACTCTGGAGCTTTGCGTGGATAACCTCACCGCGGACTACCTGGATCCTATCATGGCGCCGGTAATCGATGAATTGATGGCTGCTCTATGGGAGCATCTTAAGCCGAATCCTTATAGCCATTTCCATGCCCATACAACAATGCGCATCCTTGGTAAACTTGGCGGTCGCAACCGTAAATTCATCACAGGGCCACCAGAACTCAACTTCAAGCCGTACTCGGACGATCAATCCTCTATCGACATACGTCTCATTGGATCAACCAAAGACCGGGCATTTCCTGCGGCAATCGGAATTGACACCGCAATTGCAAAGCTCTACGAGGTCCCTAAGACACCCGCGGCTAAGAAGTCTGATACATTCCACAAACAGCAGGCCCTCCGCCTCATCACGGCCCACACAAAGCTGCTGGTCGGCTTCGACAGCTTGCCTGAGGACTTTGCACAGCTGGTCCGCCTGCAAGCCAGTGACTTGTGTGCCAAGAAGTTCGATGCCGGTTATGACATTCTTACTGCATCGGAGCGTGAGAAGTCAATCACCAAAAAGAGCGTGGAGCAGGAGACTTTGAAGAAGTTACTAAAGGCTTGTATCTTTGCTGTGTCTATACCTGAGTTGAAGTCTGACGCTGAGGCTCTGGTGAATAACTTGGCGAAGCATTTCACGCTCCTAGAACTTGGAACCCAGTTCGCAACGCTCAAACACAAGACGAAGCCGTTTGATGTCCATTCGGGTGAGGGACCCGTCGTGATCGAAACCGATGTTATTTCGGAAGCTATCGGCGAATCCCTAGCTTCAGAGCATGCTGCTGTGCGCGACGCTGCGGAACAAGTCATCATAACCATGCGCGATGCTACAAAGGCCATTTTTGGAAACGACGGCTCTCTCGACAAGTTTGTTTTCTTCACTGAGCTTTCCAGCACCTTCTGCCACAACTGCCATGCGGATGACTGGTTCATGAAGTCTGGCGGAACTCGTGGTATTGAGATCATGATCAAGCAGCTAGGGCTTCCTCAGACCTGGCTGGTGCCTCGCCACTTCGAGCTTGTTCGCGCTTTGAACTTTGTCATGAAGGACATGCCCATCGATCTGGACTCGAAAACGCGCATTCAAGCTGAGGGTCTTATTCAAGATCTCATCCGGCGATGCCACAAGAAGATCAAGAAAGAAGACTTTGACAAGGGCAACAACATTACGCTAAGGCTTTGCCAGCAACTCGTGGGTGATCTGTCACATATGAACAAAAATGTGCGGGACGCGACACAGAAGGCTTTCCAAGTGCTCTCTGATGTCACTGAACTGAGCGTGAGCGACCTCATCACACCCGTCAAAGATAGGCTCATTCTGCCCATTTGGACAAAGCCACTACGAGCGTTGCCCTTCAGCATTCAGATTGCCTACATCGACGCCATCACCTTTTGTCTGAAGCTTAAGAACAACATCCTCGAGTTCAATGAGCAATTGACGAGGTTGCTTATGGAGTCCCTCGCGCTAGCAGACGCCGAAGACGAACACCTTGCAAGCAAACCCTTTGAGCAAAGGAACGCCGACCACATTATCAATCTGCGGGTAGCCTGTATTCGACTGCTCTCGACTGCGCAGAGTTTTCCTGAGTTCAGCACTACCCCACCAAACCAGACGTTCCTCCGCATCATCGCTGTCTTCTTCAAGTGTCTCTATTCAAAGTCACCTGAGGTCATCGAGGCAGCCAACATTGGACTTTCGGGCGTCATCTCAGCGACGAACAAGCTACCCAAAGATGTGCTTCAAAGCGGACTTCGGCCCATTTTGGTGAACCTCCAGGACCCACGAAAGCTTTCTGTCGAAAACCTTGATGGTCTTGCCCGTTTGCTGAAGCTGCTCACAAACTACTTCAAGGTGGAGATTGGAACACGTCTTCTTGACCATCTCAAGAGCATCGCCGATCAAAACAGTCTTCAGAAGATCTCATTCACCATGATTGAGCAGAACTCCAAGATGAAGATTGTGACTGGCATCTTCAACATCTTCCATCTGTTGCCACCAGCAGCTGCTACATTCTTGAAGCAGATCATCGAAAAGGTCATTGAGTTGGAGAGTGCGCTCAGAAGGACGCATTACAGTCCATTCAGAGAACCTTTGATCAAGTACTTGTGCATGTATCCGAAAGAAGCCTGGGACCATTTTGCCCCCAATCTGAAAGATCATACCCAAGGACGCTTCTTTGCCCAGCTGCTTCAAGACCCGGCGAGCGAGGCCCTCCGCAAGCAGGTCACAGAAGATGTTCCAGGTTTTTTGAATGCCATCAACCCGGAGGGTACTGATAAGGAGAAGTGTCAAGCTCAGCTCAATGGTATTCACATCGCCTATGCTTTATCTCAATGCGAAGAGACTAGCAAGTGGCTTGTTTCAGCCACAGAACTACGCAAAGGACTTTTTGAAGCGGCTCGATCGTTGGAAAAGAAGCTGAGGGCAAACACCCTCGACGCGGAACTGCGCTTGGCAACTGAACAGGCTGGCGACCAGATCATGATCATCTTTACAACGTACCTCAAGCATGAGCCAAGCAGTCTGGATTTCTTCTTTGAACTTGTCGACGCTGTCACATCCGAGGAGTTCAAGGCTTCTCCACGCTTGTTTGACTTTATCTACGAACAAATCATTTCCAGCGACTCTGTGGATTACTGGAAGACAATCGTGAACAAGTGCATCGACCTGTACACATCACGCAATTCGTCACAAAAGACGAAGACTTTCATCTTCCGGCACATTGTCAACCCCATCTTTGCCATGGATGTAAAGCGCAACTGGGAAGCCTTGTTTGACCAGAAAGCCAAGGGTACCAAGTTCATGGACAAAGCCATGACCGAAACCATACATAGCCGGCTTTGGAAGCCACAATCGACACTTGAGCTTTCAGAAGACACTGCGCAGCTTGGTGTGGATCATTCACGCATGGAGCTTCTCCAACTTACCACCCTGCTCCTGAAACACTACCCTGGCATGATCCAAGAAGCCCGTAAGGATGTCATCAAGTTCGCTTGGAACTACATTAAGCTTGAGGATATCATCAACAAGTACGCTGCTTACGTGCTCATCGCCTTCTTCATTGCCGCTTTCGACACACCTGTCAAGATTGCTGTGCAAGTCTATCAAGCCCTGCTCAAAGCACATCAGAATGAAGGTCGTTCACTTGTGATGCAAGCGCTTGAACTGATGGCTCCTGTCTTGAAGAAGCGGATGCCAGTATTGCCTGGGTCAGATTCTAAGATGCCTCGCTGGATTCAATTCCCTCGCAAGATTCTCTCAGAGGAGAGTTCTAATCTACAGCAGTTGATGAGCATCTTCAATTTCTTGGTCCGACACCCAGATCTCTTCTACGAAGGAAGAGAGCATCTGTCGCCCATCATCATTACAGCACTATCCAAAATTGCGCAACCTCCGAATCCCTCGACTGATGCAAAGAAGCTTGCATTGAATTTGATCCGCCTGATCAGGACTTGGGAGGAACGTACAGCAAGTGAGAGTGGGGGCTCATCGGATCGACAGTCAGAGTCACCGCAGGCTGTTAAGAGGCGTGCTGATGGATCGGCCGTGGTTCCAAGTTCAGCACCGAAGGGCTTTGTTGCAGGTGCTCCAATCCGGATGATGTTGATCAAGTATCTTATCCAGTTCATTGCGTACCTGCCAGAGCGCTTCCCCGTTGCTTCGCCGAAACCCAAGGATGCCAATGCCGCCACTCCCAACACCGCGCAACCTGCTGAGATCTGCAGGAAGGCTGTGCAGCTTCTGCATGACTTGCTTTCACCACGACTATGGAACGATCTGGATCTTGATCTTATGCTTACCAAGAAGATCGAGGAGATTCTTCTCACTGAGATGAAGCAGGAAGACAAGGCTGAGGTATTCAATACTCGTATGATCAACACGCTCCAGATTGTGAAGGTCATCGTCAACGTTAAGCCTGATGACTGGGTCTTGCAGCGCATTCCACAGTTTCAGAAGATCCTCGACAAGCCCATTCGATCCGAGAACCCCGATGTCCAAGCCAGCCTTCACGCAACGGACGAATCTGAGGATGGTGCTATGAAACTGAAGCCTATCCTCAAGCGCATTCTAGAGGTAATGCCTGAACCCGTTACTGATGACGAAGGAAACATTGAAGAGTCGCCTTCTACCGAGTTCGTCAACTTCCTCGGTACCATCGCTACTGAAGCACTCTCCAATAGCTCTTATGTCAGCGCAATCAACATCCTCTGGACCTTGTGCCAGAAACGACCCGAGGAGATTGATCAACATATCCCGCAAGTCATGAAGGCATTCCAAGGCAAAATGGCCAAGGATCATCTCGCTGGAAACAGCGGGGTTCCTGGACAACCCGTGCCACCTGCTATGCGCCCTGAAGGGGCCAATCCTCCCACGGATCCTCGCGAGATTGAGATTCAAACAGACTTGGTGCTCAAGACTGTCGACATCTTGGCTGCTCGCATGAACGAACTCGGTGAAAACCGAAGGCCATATCTTAGTGTCCTTGCTTCATTGGTCGAGCGATCGCAAACCAACTCGGTCTGTATGAAGGTACTGGATCTTGTCGAAGAATGGATCTTCCGCTCCACTGAGCCCGTGCCGACTCTTAAGGAGAAGACTGCAGTACTCAGCAAGATGCTGCTGTTCGAACATCGGGCTGATACCTCGCTGTTGACTCGCTTCTTGGACCTCGTCATTCGCATCTACGAGGACCCCAAGATTACAAGGAGCGAGCTGACTGTACGCATGGAGCACGCCTTCTTGATCGGCACCCGTGCACAAGACGTCGAGATGCGTAACAGATACATGGCCATCTTCGACAAGAGCTTGAGCCGTACTGCGGCCAGTCGCCTCAGCTACGTCCTGGCTTCTCAAAACTGGGACACCCTTTCTGACAGCTATTGGCTGAGCCAGGTCATTCATTTGATGTTTGGCTCGGTCGAGATGAACACTCCAGCACAACTTCATTCAGAAGACTTCCGCCTCATGCAACCCAGTACGCTGTTTGGAACGTATGCTCGAGACTCCAGGATTGGAGATGTCATGGTCGATGATGAGCTGGAGAACCTTGTCATCAGCCATCGCCGCTTCTGCCACCAGCTTGCTGATGTCAAGGTCAAGGACATTTTCGAACCGCTCGGACATTTGCAGCACACTGACAGTAACTTGGCACACGATATTTGGGTGGCTTTCTTCCCACTAGCCTGGACTGCACTTACAAAAGACGACCAGAGCGACCTTGAAAAGGGCATGGCAGCTTTGCTCACGAAAGACTATCACTCGCGCCAACTCGATAAACGACCCAACTGTGTTGCAACCATGCTCGATGCTATCGTGCATTCCCGCCCACGGGTTAAGTTCCCGCCTCACATCATGAAGTATCTGGCCCAGACATACAATGCCTGGTACACTGCCGCAGTGTATATGGAAGAATCCGCCATTTCTCCCGTCGTCGATGTCGAAAAACTGCGTGAGAGCAACCTGGATGCTCTGTTGGAGATTTATAGCGGTCTACAAGAAGATGATCTATTCTACGGGACATGGCGTCGGCGTTGCCAATTCATTGAAAGCAACGCTGCTTTATCGTACGAGCAGTGTGGCATTTGGGACAAGGCCCAGCAAATGTACGAGGCTGCACAAATCAAAGCCCGCACATCTGTTCTTCCCTTCAGCACTGGCGAGTATATGCTTTGGGAAGATCACTGGGTTATTTGCGCACAGAAGTTGCAACAGTGGGAGATTCTGAGTGACTTTGCCAAGCACGAGAACTTCAACGATCTCTACCTGGAGTCAACCTGGCGTGTTTTTGATGCATGGCAGAATGCCGAAACCCGCGAACAACTTGATGCGACCATCAAAGCTGTTAGCGATGCACCAACGCCGCGAAGAGTCTTCTTTCAGACCTTCATGTCATTGCTCAAGCTCCACAACAAGCAAGAGTCGCAGCCAGAGTTCCATCGACTTTGTGATGAGTCCATCCAGCTCTCCATTAGGAAATGGCACCAGCTTCCACGACGCATCACCCAGGCACACATCCCGCTCTTGCAGCACTTCCAACAACTTGTTGAGTTGCATGATGCAAGTGTCATTTGCCAGAGTCTTGCTCAGACTACTCAAGTCAACCTGGATGTCAAATCGCAGGAGCTGAAGTTGCTCCTCAGCACCTGGCGCGATCGTCTGCCAAACTTCTGGGACAATATCAACGCATGGCAGGATCTCGTCACTTGGCGCCAACACATCTTCCAGCTCATTAACGGTGTGTACCTGAACCTGCTGCCTCCAAACCAGAACAACGCCAGCGGCAACTCTTTCGCATACCGAGGCTACCACGAGACTGCATGGATTATTAATCGCTTTGCACATGTGGCCCGCAAACACAACTTGCCTGAAGTGTGCATCAACCAGCTTGGACGGATCTACACCCTCCCTAACATTGAGATTCAAGAGGCCTTCCTGAAGCTCCGTGAACAGGCAAAGTGTCACTACCAGATAAAGGCCGACCTCAATAGTGGCTTGGATGTGATTAATAACACCAATCTGAACTACTTTGGTCCGAATCAAAAGGCAGAATTCTACACTCTCAAGGGTATGTTCCTGGCTAAGTTGGGTCAGAAGAACGAAGCGGGTGAAGCTTTTGGCACTGCATTGTATTTTGACATTAAGCTGCCAAAGGCATGGGCCGAGTGGGGACGCTACAACGACATGCTGTTCAAGGAGGAGCCACAAAACCTGGAGAGGGCAGAGGCAGCGCTCAGCTGCTATTTGGAAGCTGCCAGCCAATTCAAGAACGCCAAGTCCAGGAAACTGCTTGGGCGTGTTCTGTGGTTGCTCAGCTTGGACAACCCAGAGCGCAAATTGGCTGAGAAGTTTGAAGAATTCAAGGGTGATACGCCAGCGTGGTACTGGATTACTTACATTCCGCAGTTGTTGAACAGTCTGTCGCGACAGGAAGCTCCTATTGCGAGATCCATTCTTGGGAAACTGGCAAAGACGTATCCACAGGCGCTGTACTGCCATCTTCGCACTACACGAGAAGACATGGCTGTACTCAAGAAGACGCATGAGCAGAAGGAAGCAAAGGAAAAGGCGGCGAAGGCGAAGCAGCAACAGGCACAAGCTTCACCAGCAACGAAACAAGCTTCACCCGAATCCGGCAACCAGGCAGCGGCCGCAGGCACTGATGCCAAGCCTGCAGCCAACGGAACAGCCAACGGTATAGTCAAGACAGAAGGTGCGGCGCAAGGCAGTCCAAAGGCCGGTAACGCACCTGCCCCTGCCGATGCTCCTCCAGCACCAAAGAAGCCATGGGACCATGTCGAGGAGATTAGTGCTATCCTCAAGACGGCTTTCCCTCTACTCGCGCTATCCATGGAAACAATGCTCGACCAGATCCAGAAGAACTTCAAGTGCCCTCCTGACGAAGATGCTTACCGACTCATCGTAGCTCTGCTAAACGACGGGCTGTCTTATGTGGGCCGCCAGCCAAATCTTTACGCACGCGAGATCAAACTGCCAGCATCGACCGAGGCTAACATTACGCGTTTCGCTGAGTCTGTTCTGCCACCGCACATTCGCAAGGCTTTCGAGAAGGACTTTGTCACTAACAAGCCGACAATGTACGAATACATCCAGAAGTTGCGTACCTGGCGGAATCGCTTTGAAGAGAGGCTCGACCGAAGGAAGCTTACTGTGCCGCTTGAGCAGTATACACACCAGCTCAGCGAGTTCCGTTTCCTCAAGTTTGACGATGTTGAGGTACCTGGACAGTATCTGCAGCACCGAGACAAGAACTCCGACTTTGTGCGCATAGAACGCTTCCTTCCCGACGTGGAACTGGTGCGTGGCATTGGCATCTGTCATCGCCGCCTCAGGATTCGTGGCCACGATGGAAGCATTCATCCTTTTGCTATCCAGTTCCCTGCTGCTAGGAGCTCAAGGCGCGAAGAGCGCATTGTCCAACTGTTCCGCATCTTCAACGGTATCTTGGCGAAGCGCAAGGAGAGCCGCAGAAGGAACCTGCAGTTCCATCTTCCCCTTATGATTCCAATCACACCCAGTGTGCGCATGGTGCAAGATGATGCGTCATACATCAACATGCAGGGTATCTACGAGGATTACTGCCGTAAGAATGGCATCAATAAGGACGAACCCATACTCTTTAGCATCGAGAAACTGAGAGCTCTCCAGCCTGTAAGTGTTGGACGTAACACCTTGATTGGCATACAGAAACTAATACAAGCCGAACAGAAAAATCTGGACCATGCTAACAGTATCCGCCTCGAAACCTTTGCTGCTGTTCAAGAGAAATATGTACCTCCAACAGTCATCCAGGACTACTTCCGCGCCACGTTCCCCACATTTGACGACTTCTGGCTGTTCCGTCGCACATTCAGCTACCAGCTTGCCGCTCTCACCTTTATGACGTACGTCATGCACATGAACACGCGCTTCCCACAGAAGATCAGTGTGTCACGTGCCAGCGGTCGGATTTGGGGCTCTGAATTGATTCCCAGCATGGCTGTCGGCAAGCCCATTCTACACAACTCGGAGCCTGTACCTTTCCGTCTGACGCCCAACTTGCAAACAATCATGGGTCCGCTCAATCTCGAAGGAATCTTTGCTCCCAGCGTTATGACTGTGGCTCGATGCTTGATCGAACCCGAGGGCGAGCTAGAAATGCAGCTCAGTATCTTCATGCGCGATGAAATGAACCACTGGTTCACCAGCCAACACAAGGCTAGTCAATTGACACCAGAAGTTCTCAGGGAGAGCGTCCAGAACAACAGCGATTTGGTGGTCAAGAGGGCCAGTGCTATCGGTAGCCTGCCCACTGGAGCTAATCTGCCGGCAAACCAGACTGTTGTCGACCTCGTTGCTGTAGCGGTACATCCGGCCAAGTTGAGCCAGTGCGATCCGCTCTGGATGGCATACTTGTAGGAGACTTGGAATGGGGACATGTGGGTGTATAGGTGTTGGAGGATTTGTTTCATTTTGATCAAGGTTCTTTGATCAAGTAGTGATGGGGATTTTTTTTAGCGTTGGCGTTTTGTCATTATTGGACGGATTGGGGAGACATCGTGTGTATTTTTGGTTTTGGCATGGCGCTTTGCAAGGGGTTTGAGGAAAAACAGGCTTGTTGAGATGCATGGTGGTTTCAATGACCTATCCAATGTGTGTATTGTTTTGTGTTTTTGTATTATTTTTTGAAGCAATCGACCTGTCAAGCATTTAGGAATTCTGTTAGACGTGTAAGATGGATTAAATGTAAACTATAGTCAATACTCATATGTGCACAGGTAGCATATTCCTTCGCAATGCTAGATGTCGTGATGGCTTTCTATGACGCTCTTCAGGCAAACCTTCTCTTGTATATCGGTGGAAGTGCCACGCTACTCCACACTTTGCTTTACTTCTCCTGTCTGTACCACGCAAGTAAAGTTGTGGCACACAAGCTCTGTGTAGCAACTCTCCATTCGGCCCGACCCGGCGCATTTCACGAGCACTAGGCAACCCAAATACTATTACTCCGCAAGTACCTGCCGCTTCCGAGCATCTGCGCAATCTTATCGATCGGTGTGGGTTACTCAGATTAGCGGATGTGATCTAAGATACCCGTATCGAGGTTCGACTTTCGGCAGCTCGGATTCTCCCGAGCCCATGTTCCTTCTCGCGTTGAACGAAGAAAGAGTAGTATGTGTGACGGAATCTCAACAATAGATCCACTTTCATGTATAGATAAATGAATCCTACGCATATACCTACTAAACACGGCATTTAGCCAAAAGCCCATTTAGGCAAAGCAACACCATCGCAGCCCCTCGTCTGCCTCCACACACGATAACCCTCAAACACCAACTTGGGCAGTTCCAGCGGGGAAGGCCTCTGCTCAGGCGTCCGCGCAAGACAAGCCCGCACCGTCTGCGCCAGATACTTAGACCCGGCATACCGTCTGCCCAGCGGCCTATCCGGCAGTAAAAGCCCATCAGGAACCTGCACCATACGCGCAAGACAATGCAAGACGAGTCCCACACTGAAGACATCGCCAAACACACTCGGCTCGCGCTCCGGCGCCTCAAACCGCGGATCCCCGCGCCCCAGCACTCGCGCATGCCGTGAACACTGCTCCTCGCTCGCACGCACGCATCCAAAATCCCCAAGCACAACGCACGGATAAGGCGTATGCGCATCCGCACCCTTACACGCCCTGTCGCGCGTCAAGAAGACATTGCCGGGCTTGATGTCGCCATGCAGCATGGCATCCCAGCCTTGCTTCTTCACCGCAGATTGGCCCCGAATGGCGCGGTACCGCGTCGAGGCGTAATCAGCGCCGGTGCTCAGGTAGCATAGCGCCAGGGCTAGGTGCCAGAAGACGCGCAAGACGAAGCCTTCGTCGGGCAGCCGCGTGGCGTGCGCGTTGAAGCGCAGGATCAGCGTGTCGAGGCTGCCGAGCTCGCAGTGCTGCATGTAGATGGAGATTGTGGACGTAAGACTGCTACGGCTGGATTGGGGGGTCCAGGTGAAGATGGAGACGAGGTGTGGGTGCGGGTTGCAGAGACACATGGCGCGGATTTCGCGTTTGGCGGCGTGGCAGGGGAGGAGGCGCTTTTCGACGTAGACTTTGGCGGTGGGGAGATGCTTGGTTAGGTAGATGCCTTGGTTGTTGGCGCCGGCGTCACCATGGTGGGTTAGTTTCTTGAGGGTTTGGAAGGCTTTTGGAGTGAGGTTTTGGGGCATCCTGGGGCTAGCTGTGTGAGTTATTTGGTAATAGTCCATATATGTGTGTAGTATATGTCTCTTGGGTTATTTCGCCCAGCAGGTAAGGAAGATGCATCTTTCTTTTGAAGTCTGGAGACGGCATGGTGGATTGGTCATGGCAAACGGCCATGTCTACTACTGATGTGATTGATTACGGGCGTTTGGCGAGAACGTGTAAAGGTGGAGAGAGGTACCTGATGACGCTCTACGCATGTACGTCCGTTGGCACCCTACAAGTATATTTACATATCATTCAATTGTCGATTCCCGATCCCCAGAAATGCGATTAACGTTTGACCCCCCTGCTCACCGCCCATGCAACGGTTGCTAGCGCCAAGTGGGACCGACGGGACAACCTGGTTGAATGTACTTAGCGCCAGTAGAGCGCGTATATTCTCATCTGCCGGGAAGCTGGAGTTATCAAACTGGGGTAAATTGCCTGCCGATTGCGGGGTCTATAGACACTAACCCTACAGGCAGTACCCTCGGGTCTTAATCACGGCACCAGGAACCAAGTGGTTGCATGATACTACATTGTGGATGTATAAAGCGTTAGCTACATGCCCATGACTTGTATCTGTTTCGCCCACGCTTCTGCTGGTAATCTAGTAATCCCATAATCCACGTATAAATTTCGGCAACGCTGCTCATTCATCATGCGTTTTCTATACCCTCTTACTACTGCCATCACAACACTTGCACAGTTCGCCATGGCACAAGACGAACCTGTACCGCCGCAGTTAACTCTGCTCTACCGAATGGAGGCTTTGCTCTCACCTCCAATCAATGTTCCGGATATTCCATATGGACAAGCGCGCACTATTATTCCCATTATCGGAGGCACCTTCAAGGGACCAAGACTATCTGGTTAGTATTTCAAGATGCCATCTTGCGAAAGTCAGTGAGAGGAAAGGAGCATGTCCAAATGCCTTGGCTTTTGGACGCCCTCCCCCTTTTGTAGAGAATGAATGACGTCATACGATGCCACAGTTCTAATCTCACATACAGGCAAAATCCTGAACATCGGTGCCGACTGGCTTTTGGTGGACAACGGAGGCAAGTCAAGGCCTGATACGCGTTATGTGCTACAGACAGACGCCGGCGAGATTATTTACATTAAGACTGAGGGTCTGCCGCCAAAAGACAACAGTGCGGGCGCACCATTGATGCTGAGGGGCAAGTTTGAGACGAGCATGAACAACACAGTCGCGTGGTTGAACGATGTCGCCGCCATTGCTGTACTGCGAGGAGGGAAGCCAAACACTGTGCTGATTGATATGTGGGAGGTACGTTGTTTGCCCTTGTCCAAGTTGACTGGAAATGTGCGGACAAAAAGCTGACTTGAAAATAGGCATCGCCGGCTCCAGAGAGCAGCAAGCTGTAAGAGCAATCCAACCGTTGTACATAGTTGAATAAAAATGTAATAAGTGATTCTAGCACGAACTGTGTCGAAACGTAGTTTGGTTTCGAGTAGTATTTCCCAATGCCGAGATGTACGCTTGTGGGCTAGTGGCCGAAAAACTTAGTGGCTCCAGTGTTGTTTTTTGTAGCGCCGACTTCGCTCATTAGCCAGATGTGAATGTCCCTCTTAGACACTTACCAACTAGATATAATTTAGTCACATAGGACTACTACCATTTTACCCTGGGAACTACAACCTGTGAAATCTGAACACCAAAAAGAAAACAAAAAGGAAACAATGGACTCACACTGGCACCTCCTCCCCCCAGACCTACTGGAGCTCCAAATCGGCCAAATCGACCTCCTCCTCGCCATGTACCCCGACGACCTCACCCTCTCTGACGCCGCGCACTCGACCCTCTCCGTCCTGCGCAACGGCGATGCAGAAAAAAGCCAAGAAGCCGTGACTTGCACTCCAAGCATCTCAGCCACCCTGGACCTCTCCATTTCTCCTCCCCCGGAAACAAGTCCACAAGCGAGTCCACAGACCCTCCGCTTACACCTCACCATCCCATTTGCCTACCAAAGCGCCGCTACCACCACCACCACCCCCACAGACCCACCCCCAGTCAAAGTCCGCGTCCAACAACCAACCTGGCTGAACAAGGCCGAAACGCAATCTCTTACGTCTTCGCTGCCAAACCCCGACGACCTGCTCGACACGCTCAATTTGATCCTCGAAAAAGCCAGCGCGCACCTCTCTTCTTCTTCGTCTTCTTCGCCTTCGCCCTCCCCCTCCCCTCAATCATGCTCACCCCTAGTCCGCGCCTGGTTCCTCTTCCCCTCGATAAGCACGCGCTCCAAGCGCCTCGACCTGACGACGCACGCGCCGCGCTACGCCCTCACGGGCTTCCTGTTCGCGGGCAAACCGGGCCTGCTCTGCGTCGAAGGCGCGTCTGCAAATATAGATGCGTACATGCGGTTTATCAAGACGGAGTCTTGGGGCGATATCCCCGCGTATCAGAAGAAGGTTAGTGAGAGGTGGAGGGAGGTTGGGGTGCAGGCGAGGGTGTTTGAGGGGATGGAGGAGATTACGGATGCGGTGGGGGAGAGGAGGGGGGAGAGGGGGATGAGGGGGGATATGGGCGGGTTGGAGGAGTGGTTGGTTAGGCGGGGGGTGGGAGAGGCGTTTGCGAGGGTTTTGATGTAGTGTCATTTGTTTGTTTGTTTTTTCGGGGGGAAGGGTTTACGGGGGAGAAATAGAGGGTGGACTAGAGAAAGATTCTGTTAAATTTCGTTATATCGTCAGAAGTTAAATAAACGCCGTGTATATGATATCTCACTAAATCCCCGACCAGTGTTCAATATGATAAAAGGAAAAAAATAAAAGAGATGAAAATCAGCACATGCCGGTCAAGATGGACATGCCGGCGATGTTGTCTCCTCCCGCCATGGCCGCTTCCTCTTCCTCGAGCAACTTGTCAATCTTGGCCTTGGTCTTGATTCTCCAAAAGTCTTGTGCGCCATCAACAAATCTTGTGCTGATATTCTCTACGTCTTCAGCAGGACAGGCAGCAAAGCACAGCCTAAAGCAGTTGAAGCTATCCTTTTGGCGAATCTGCTCGTTTGCAGCAAACATGCTGCCAGGAGCCACAAGACAGAGGTAGGGCTTGGTTGTCCAGAAGACCCAGAGAGCCCTGGAGAGGCGGGAACGTGGGACTTCTCTGGCGAGAGGGTGGGATGAAAAGTCGAAGCGGACCCATACAAACATGCCGCCGAGTGGGCGGACAAATGTGTACAAGGGCTTCTTCTCGACAACCGTCCAGTCATCTTCTTGGTCGGTGACATCAGCAAGACTCTTGCGGCGTCCGGCCTTGACCAGCTCTTTGCCAGAATCGAGCGTGTCACACATTTTCTGCATGCGTCGCTCGTAGTTGCCCCGCAGGCCCTCGAGCCAGCGCACCCAGCCTTCGACTTTCCAGCCGCTTCCGTCTGCTGCGCCTCCCTTTCCAGGGTCTCTGGACGATTGCGGGCCCATGAGCAATTCTGCAACCATGGCTTGGACGAAACCAGACGGTTGCTGGGTTGAGGTCTCGGTGATACGCACGAGACGCTCGATAAGGGCAGGCTGTGCAGTGATCCAGCCAAGACGGCACCCTGGGGCGACAGTCTTGGAAAAGGTGTCAAGGCGCACCACGCGGCCCTGGTAGTCGACGCTGAGATATGAGGGGATCAGACTATCCAAAAACTCAAAACCTGACGACTTTTGGGGCTCGACGGGGGCGGTTCCGTTGGGCAGTGAAGAGGGGTACTGCAGGTACCAATATGGGTCGTCTTCAACGATGACAATGTCGTACTTTACGCAGAGGGCATAGATTTCGATGCGTCGCTGGACTGAAAGGGTGCCAGATGTGGGGTTCTGGCCAATGGTGACGGTGTACATGATGTGCGGCCGACGACCCTTTGTGAAGTCCCAGTTTTCCAGGACGTCTTGTAGACCGCCTGGGCCGGACACCATCATTCCCTCGTTGTCAATGGCAACAGGTGCAATGTTGAAGCCCCGTGGCTTGGCGGTCTGGATAGCGTTCATGTAGCAGTATGTTTCGCAGAGCAGACCCGGTCGCTCTTCGACGGGGTCATGTTCTGCTGACCACTCGTTGCTGAGGGCAGTCAACGTCTTTGAGAAGCCATCAGTAGAACCACAGGTCAAGAGGATCTCGGGCCCGTCCTTGTATGGAACAAAGGGGTGCAGGTTTTGGCGAGTGAACTGGCGAATGAAGTAGTACAGGGGAGGGTATCCCTGTGCCTGGCCGTATTGCAGCGCTGACTTGAGGTCGATCATGCGCAGAGGGTCCTGCACGTTGGAGTCTTTTGGTACAACCAGACGCGAGGCAGGCAGCTGCTTGGACTTGTTGCGCGAAAAGGCCCAGAATCTATTGTGCTGCGGGGACGGAGGGTCCTCGGGCGGGGGGTCGAGTGGTTTGTTTGGAGTAGGCTGCCATCGGTCGGGGCGAGCGACCTTGGCCTCGAGGGTGTCATATGGGAAGTAGTGATCATCGGGCAGGCCTGGCAGCTGTGAGTAATAGTAACAATGGTTACAGCATAGGTCAGCATGTACCTCCAGCTAATTGAGCAATGCCGGGAATCTGAAAGTATTTGTAGAACTGCTTGACGGTCGAGGCCTCACGGGCCTTTGTGCTGCGTGATAGCAAGTGGGCAAGACTGACTGGGTCTGGAAAAGAGCTTGGGTCGGAAGTGTATGGCGCCATGGTCGAAAGCAGCGCAGCCAGGCGAGCTTTGTAATGGTCTACCGGAAGGAGGGGGCAATGGGGATGAGAGAGGGAGAGACGGGTGGGAAGTCCGAGGACTGGAGGATAAGGGACTGGTGATTAGAAATGTCGGTAGTGACCTCAGCATGTATGCGTGTCGCAGCTAAACCCCAACGGGCTGCATGCGGGCGCCTTGACGTTAAGCCGGCCATAGTACCCACCCAGGCCAGCGTTGTTTGGCCGTGTGTGTGTTTCAGTTGGCCTTGTCCACGTCTGCTACACGTAGGCAAGCGCATGTATATAAGTCTGTACAGCTGTACTAAGCATGCTGTCCACCATGGCTGGGCCGGCCACGTGCTGGTGCAGCGAGTTAGCGCACGAGGCCGGTGGTGTGGGAACCCCACAGGCTCGGCCTCGTCGTCATGCAGGTCCCGGCGACTCCCACGGCTCCCGATCCCAAACTCTCTCCCTGGCCCTGCCCGGTCCGGCCGTCATCCGCCCTGGCTGGCCGCTGATTATATTATACGGCTTCTGTTTCTTGGCTTTGGCCTCATTTCTTGCCTTCGCTCTGCGCTGTCTGTACAATCTCCATTTCCATCCCAGCTGCAACCCGCCCATCTCGCATCCACATCCCCACCCATCGCTATCGATAACCGTCCCCCACGCCTCGCCGCATCGCCACACCCTCAGCCTTCAAACTGTCGTCCTCGCCCACGTCTCGCCACGAGCTGGCGTCGCTCCAGGACATGGACTCCCATCAGGGCGTCTATGACGACGAGAGCACCCCTCCGCCCGTCTATCGCGACGATGAAAACACCAGTCTCCATTCCAACGAGTCGGCCGAGCTCATTGCCGCGTCCGAGGCCTCTGCTCACGAGTACTACAGCTCGTCGCAACAACAGTCCTACATGAGCAAATACTTACCCCCGCGACTGCAACGCACATGGCACAGTACTGTCGTTTGGGCCAAGGGCCCGCAGCCGCCGCGGCCCTGGAAGATCCGCCCATTCTTCCCCCATGTCCAAGCTGCGCCCATTCGCCTATTGAACAACTATTTCCCAAAGAGGAAACAGAAGATTGCCCTGCTCGTCTTCTTCTATTTTTGCTGGATTCTGACTTTTGGCCTCGTTCTGCATCGCAGTGCCTTTGCAGCAGACATACCAGGCTACGGCAGCCCAGTGCGCGTGCGGTGCACAGATCGCTTTTGGAGCGACGGCAATGGCTGCGGCCTCAATGGCGACCTGTGCCGGCCCTTTGAGAACAGCACCATGCCTTTTCGCTGCCCTGCAAACTGCAAGCGCGTGCAGTTGATCTACCCACATGCGGTTGGAGACCAGTTGGTCAACTACCGTCCACTCGTCGTAGGCGGGCCTACAGACGACGAGGAAACGCTTGAAAACACCTACTACCGTGCCGACTCGTTCATTTGCGCTGCTGCCATCCACGCTGGATTCATCAACGACGCTTCAGGTGGATGCGGTGTGGTTGCTCAGATTGGCGAGAAGACTGACTATCCCAGCGTTGACCGCAAGCACATCAAGAGCACTGGTTTCGATTCCTACTTTCCACGCTCCTTTTCCTTCCTCTCCGGAACTGCGACAAAGTGCCGCGACCTACGGTGGCCCCTGCTCGGTGTTTCCTTGACATTCACTATTCTTTTGTCACTCTTTGCCACATCACCATCCGTATTTTTCACTTCAATATTCCTAGGCGTCTTCGTCCACGTTGCGCTTGCTTCAGATCCACCAAATCTGACAGATTACTATGCTATTGTCAGTATAATGCTCGCGCGCCTGCTCCCGGCATGCTTTTGTATGTATGCCGTCTATCAATTCGCCGTGCGTCGCCAGCTCGAGGGCCTGGATGCGCACATAGAGAAGACTCTTCTCTGGCTGGGAGGATGCTGGATAGGCGCTCTGAACAACTACACCTTTGACAAGATTCCCATCGAGCGCCTTACTCCTCACGAGATCCAGAACCAGCCCGGCGCCATCCCCGCCCTTATCATCGTCGTTCTTACCCTATTCTTTATTGCTCTTGGCCAGGCCTGGGCCTTTAGGGTTGAGGGCCGTCTTCCTCGCTACCTTGCCATTTACAGCATCTTAGTCACAGGCATACTTACACTTGTCGCGATACCCAAGATGAACGTTAGGATTCATCATTACATTCTTGGCCTTCTTCTGGTTGCAGGCACATCTATGCAAACCCGGCCCTCCCTTCTCTATCAAGGTATCCTTATTGGTCTGTTCATCAATGGTGTTGCACGCTGGGGCTTTGCTAGCATCCTGGAAACACCCAGCGCTCTTCGTGGTGACGCCCCCAGCGGTACCCCTCTCCCTATTATTACAGCCCCAGTCATTCACAACAATGTGAATGTAGCTCATGTTAAGCCCAACATAACTTTTGACTGGCAGTATCCATTCCCCACGCCCTATGAAGGCATGAGCGTCTTGGTCAATGACGTGGAAAGATACCATGAGTTTACAGACAGGATGGAGGATAGTTGGACCTGGACTCGGCATATGGAAGGTGTGAATGAGTACTTTCGCTTTGCATACTTGAGTGGTGGCCGACGAGGTGATTATACAAAGGCCGGGGTTTGGAGGGCAGATGGTGGGTGGACGGAGATGGAGCCAGGGCCATCGTAATGTTTGTTTTGTTAGACATGTTAAAGGAAATTGGATACGTGATTGTACACACGCATTGCGAAAAGGAAGCATTCACTTGGCATCGAAGCAGCCCTGCAGACTGAAGTAGAAACTTGCTTGAAGCGATTGGGTGAGTCGGGCGAGAGGGGTACATTAGTCAGCTGCAATAGGTTTAGCAAGGAGTATGATTCTCGGTACATAACCATGTCGTCAATCCCACCTGACTGCAAGGAATATGCCGTGGTCCGCTAACTCCGATTGTTTGGCACGCAATTTGTCAGAGCGATTGTGTGTTTGTGGAGTTCGGGACCTAGCAATCACCGAGGAGGGGTAGGAAAAGACATCATGGCATCATTTACACTACTCCAGACAGGATTTTAGTCCGACCGGACATGCTTTACTAGAAATGCACATGAAACAGTGGGTACGCTACTGCCTACCACGTACACATATATGAGCGAGGAAGGTGCTGTCAACGTCCAGCTCCCACCTCACAACTTCCCACCCACCACTACCACCAACACGCACACACAAACACATACACATACACACACACACATTGCCACAATGGTCAAGACGATTTTCGGAGGATTTCCCCTCTCAGACCAAGCATCCTTCAAAACCCAAGAAGCTCGCGCTGAGGTCATTGAGGTCCTAATCAAGAATGGTGTTAAGAACATTGACACAGCACGCATATACCCCGGATCCCAAGAGGCCATTGGAAAGCTCGAGAAGCGCAAGGAATTCACCATCGATACCAAGCTACCCGGCGGCTTTGGTCCTGGCACTGCCACAAAAGAAAATGTCATCAAGGACGCCCAAGACTCGTTGGACACCGTGAATATTGAGCAATTCGACATCCTCTACATCCACGCCCCCGACCCATCCATTCCCTTCGAGGAAACTCTTGAGGGAATCAACGAAGCCTACAAAAAAGGCATCTTCCGCCGCTTTGGCCTTAGCAACTTTTCCGCCGAGCAGGTGCAGCAAGTCTACGACATTGCAAAGGCAAAGGGATACCCGCTGCCCGCCGTCTACCAAGGAAACTACAACCCCGTCGCCCGCCACCTGGAGACACAGCTCTTTCCGCTGCTACGCAAGCTAGGCATCCACTTTTATGCCTACTCACCTCTTGCTGGTGGTTTCCTTACCAAGACAGCCGCAGACCTCGACGCCGGCGCAGGCCGCTTCAACAAGGGGGCCCTAGGAGGCCTATACAGCACGCTCTACGACAAGGAACCCATCCGCAATGCGCTAGCCAAATGGAACGAAATCGCCGAAAAGGAAGGTGTCTCCAAAGCCGAACTTGCGTACCGATGGGTCGCGTTCCACAGCGCGCTGCAGGGCGATGACGACGGTGTCATCTATGGGGCTAGCAAGCTGCCGCAGGTGGAGCAGACGGCCCAGTGGCTCAAGAAAGGAAAGTTGAGCAGTGAGGCGGTCAAGGGCATTGATGAGATTTGGGAGAGCGTCAAGGAAGTTGCGCCTATTGACAATTACCACAGCAGGGGGTAAAGGGTGACGTTGCACCAAGGAATGGGGGGAGAAACGAAACTCCGAGGCATGTGGGGATCTTGCATGGTTCTTGGTGGAGATGGACAACGTCAGCACACACATAGTAAACGCCAGCATACACTTGTTTTTTTTTGGGCAAGTTACATGGATCATGTCGTTAGAATATAATTCTGGGAATAGAGTATTCCGCTGCCCTGTTGCAAATCATGTGGTGTCATCCCTTTCCTTGACCAAAAATTCCCGTAAATCATGAAATAGTAAAACTTGCAAAAAAAAGGATCAATCAAGCCTCCACCTTCAATCCTCCCCCTACCTTGCTCTGCCCCCCCCCCTCAAAATCACTTCTTCCTCACAACCGTAACACCAGGCGTAACCGGAACCCTCCTCTTCTTCGCCGGCGTTTCCTTCTTTTTGGGCTTCTCAACCCTAGCCTTGGGCGCCGCCTTCTTCCTCGCCGTCAGCATCGAGACGCCCTCTACCTTCTTCACAACCTCCTCCTCTGCCTTTCCCTTTGCACCTGCCTTACTCTTCGCACCGCGCTTCGCTCCTTCTTTCCGCCCAGCCTCCTCCTCCTCCGCCAACAACCCATTCTGCTTGATCCAAAAAATAACATCCAACGCCACATCGACAAACTCCTGTATCCCACGTATCAACTTGAAAGCCCGCTTGTTGCTCTCCAGCCCCGCGCGCCACCGATCGATGACGGCGAAGAAGATGTCGTCGACGTTTGCGGTGCGAGCGCAGCGGATGCGAACGTAGTCTTCTTCTTCCTTCTTCTTTGCTTTACCTTTGCCTTTGCCCTTCCCTCCACCACCACCCTCACCTTGTTCAGAATCCGACTCGTCTCGGCGATACAACGGACCAGACCGCCCCATCTCGTCCCCAATCTCGTACTGCACAAACGCTTCAACTACCATCATGGCTATGCTGTGGAAATTCAGCACCGCAAGTGCGGGTTCGGGATCGGGTGTCGCCAGTGCCTGCTGGCCCGGTAGGAAGATGTGCGTGAGCAGGTGGAGTTCTTGGGAGGTGTGGTCGGGGGAGAGGACCAGGGGCTCGCGGATTAGACCTGGGAGGGAGATTTTTGCCACGGGAAGGGAGGAGGTGTCTTTGGCGGGTTTGGGTTTGGAGGTGGAGGATGCGGGAGGAGGGGAGGGGGAGAAGTGGATGTCGTAGTCTGGGAGCTTCCAGTTTATGGGCGAGGGGTTGGGGGATTGGGGAGATGGGGCCTTGGATGGGTGGCGTGCTAGGCGGATTTTGAGGGGCTCGTCGTCTTCATCGTCGTCGTTGGATGAGATTTCTTCTTTTGTGTCTTCTGCGGGCGCTTCTTGTGTAGTGTGCATATTTGGTGGCTGCTGGTTCGGCTTGCTCGTCTGGTTGAGTGCATCAGGACTCTGCGGAGAGTACAAGGCAGAAGGCTGTTTCGATGCCGTTTGATCGTATGGAAACTCAGACTGGCTCTGGGACTGATAGTTTTTGCCGCCGTTTCCACACGGTAAAGTTCGATACGCGCTTTGAGGAGCTCGCTGGTAGCTCAATGGGCCCATTAAGATTGAAGTTGGGACATCTGCTTGACTCTGAGAGAGTTTGAAGACGTTGTTCCCTTGCTCATACATTCTTTGTACGTTCTCAATCTGGCGTTCCTTGTTATCGATTAGTACTTGAAGCTGCTGCTGGCGAGTAAGGCTAGGGTCGAAAGAGACTTGGTTGGGCTGGGTAAAAAACTGCTGGTGTGGGTAGCTTTGGACACGTGAGTTATATGAAGCAGGAGTGCTGATGGACCCAAATGGTGTAGGGATGCCTGGAGTGGAGTGGTGGAGTGGAGTAGAGTTAACCAAGCTGTGGGCTTGGTAATTCTGCAGCCCACCCATATCTGTTGTCACCTGACCCTTGACGCCTGTATTGATAGTCTCCTCATGGCGCTGAGAGTCGGTTGCTTTCATGGGGGCCAAAGCCAGATGGCCTTGTCCATGCTTGTCTTCGATGAAACCAGGATACTTGGCACATTCCTGTCCTTCGAAACCGAGTTGCATCTTCTCTGTAGGACCCTGAAGCGGCTCTTTCCTAGGTTCACTCACATGCGGAAGAGTCGACGAGGGAATCCCCCCGTCATCCACATCCATGCGCTCGAGATCGTTTGTCCAGTGCTCAGGCTCCATTTTGATAGCAGCACTGCCCAATGAGTTTGCAGCGTCCTGGTCACCGCCATTGCCGGGCCCACCAAGTCGCTGCTGTTCACTCACATCCGTCTCTCCGCACTCTTGACCCCAGGCTACAGTGTCGTTTGATTCAGCCACCGAGTCTTGCATCTCCCCGTGGAAGAAGAAACTGCTTGATTCCCCGGATCTCGCAGTCTCACCCACTTCTCCTACCTCGTGAAGACTAGGCTCGCTCGTAGACTGCATGTGCAGAGCTCTCGGAGCTATCAAAGTCAGTATATGAAAAGTTGTGATCCACGGTATGGCATATACTCAATTGGAATTGTGAAGCCGGCGTGATAGCTCGTTGCTGCTCAGTTGAATACAATCAGAAAGATTGATTGCGTTGATTGTTGATAGAAGCAAAATAGAGATCATGTGAGGGGAGGAAGAGGATATCAAGAAGAGGAACTGCGTGGAAGCTGTATATATTGGTTTGGGAAAACGCTCTTCACTGCCAGATTTCTTGCTCACCTTTACCTAGGTGGGAGTCAGGCTTGCTCTCACCTTGCAGCGTGTCGTCTGACACATGGGCGGGTTTCCGCAATAGGTTGTATGCAATCGTGGATGCTGATGTCTTACTAGAGCACATCTGTGAGCAGCAACTGTAAACTTGGCTTGGAACATTCAAACGCTCAAGTGAGCGGACTTCAAAAGAGCGGTAAGTTCTCACGAACCAATGAACGAGAAAAAGTCTGCGGCTTAGGCAGCAAAGATTCTAGCACGCAACACAGGGACCTAATGTGCAATGCTGCACAAGCATAAAAAACTGACGGATGTTGAAGAGTACATCATTTTATTCCTTTCCGCCTTCACTCTATCCCTGCCACATCTGCCTTCAATCTCGTCACAAAACCATCAAAAAGCGGATAAAGAGAGCAATCCCGATACTTGTCCACCAAGCTCCCCTCCTTATTTCTCGCCTTTGCAACATCCTCCGTATTCACATCCTTGCCCTGCATAACCGTCCCTTGTGGGTACACAGGCCTGGTGCCGCTCTCAATCAACTCCACAAACGCTGGGTCTATCGGCACGCTGCCCAAAAATGGAACTTGAAAGTCATTGGCCATAACCTGTCCGCCTCCTTTACTGAACACATTTGTGCACTCCGAGCAATTGGGACACACGAAGCCGGCCATGTTTTCCACCACACCGAGAACGCGTATACCTGTCTTTTTACAGAAATTGAGTTCCTTCTTTACGTCGCTGATGCTAATAGCTTGCGGTGTTGTTACTACTACCGCGCCAGCAAGAAAGGGTAGGTTCGGGTTGAGCGAGGGTGAAGGAGTCGTGTTCTTGAGGAGGGTTTCGAGCAAGGAAATGTGCTCATCAGAGGTACCAGGTGGCGTGTCGATAAGCAGGTAGTCGAGAGGTGGCCAAAGGACATCGGTGAGGAACTGGCGGACCATTGCTGTCTTTTTGGGGCCGCGCCAGATGACGGCGTCAGAGCGGGAAGCCAGGATGAAGCCTAGCGACATGCATGATAGCGGTCCAGTCTTTTGGTCTTGTGCATTCTCTCCCTCCTCATCCTTTAGTTTCTTCCCTGGCAACGGCTGCGCTCCATGGACATCGACTGGTATCCAACCGCCTGGTGCCTGCCTTACTTTTGAATCCTCAATTCCAAAGAACCGCGGTATGCTTGGGCCCGTAAGATCGATATCCAAGACGCCAACTGAATGGCCTTGTAGCGACAGCGTAAGCGCGAGTTGTGTGGTGATGCTCGACTTGCCTACCCCGCCCTTGCCGGAGAGCACGAGGAGGATGTTGCGGATGTTATCGAGGGGCATCGCAGCCAATTCAGGACAAAACGGGCGTGTTATATAGTCTTTTAAGCGTCGCAAAGTAAAGTCTCAACCAGGAGATGTTTGCGACTGGAAAAGAAGAAGGTCGTTGTCGGAGTAGGGTATAAGGCGCATCGTGTAAAGTGCTTGATGATGGTGGAGCGCTTTGAAATCCAAAGAAGTGGCGGGTTGCGGCGAAATCGGAGGTCCGACCTTGAGCCGAGTTGTCCTCTTCACCCTGTACAGCAGCCCAACAGCAAAATGCCTTTATAGTAGCCCTGCGCTGTGTTCTTCTCTGCAAATTAATAGATGCGAATGCACATTAGATCCCTTCTTGCAAAATACTAGTATATGCACATACAGAAAAACCATTACTCCCCTCTGCGCACGCTACGAAACTGTTAGTAGGCAGGAAAGGATAGAGGCGACCATAAGTATCAATTCTATTTATTTATGGAAGTCACAGATGTTAGTGAAGGACATAGATTTATTCTGTTAGTAATGGGTGCACTCTTTACCTCCAACTAATTAAGCCGTATTTCACCTATGAAGCATCTTTGAAGCACATGTTTTTGAATTTACCAGGCAATTTACATCAATATTGAGAAATCTGCACCAATCAACTTATTTGGAACCTCAGTATTTGCTTGAAAAATTTGCGAACTCTGCATGGAATACAAGTCTTGTTCTTTATATGTATGTCTGTATAGAATATGGTTTGCTCACACAATATAACGATAGTAAGGTTTGAACCTTGAGAGAGTGAAAAGTTATCTACAACCCTAAAGCTTTATAACGTACTTCACGGCGTGGGCTTGGCCTGCCTTCAAGCGCTCAAATGCTGTGATAACGCCGTTGAGTCCGCCTGGCACCACCTCATGCCTCTGCGGCTTGAACCAGCCTTCCTGTAGACCTCTCTCCCTACAAATCTTGAGATCACGAAACCAAAATCTTTCTCGTTCTCATGCATGACCGACACGTTGTATTTGTTGTGTGTGATATGAGTTGGAATGTCAGTGTGTTCTTTCTCAAAAAGCACAAGACCAATATGGCCACCAGTGCCCATAGTTTCGGCCATGATGTGTGCGCTTCTTTCGCTCGACACTCCTTCGATCGCGTGTAGTATCGTATGTCCACTTGCAGCATTTCTAATTCCTTGTTTAATGTCATCTTCGGAGTCGCGGTAGTGGAGAATTGTGTCCCCTTGGCTACGGTCGATGAAATCTTCCAGATACCGTTTGGAACTCCCAGCAACGCAAATGATAGGATGAACATTGCTCTTAACGGCAAGCTGAACTGCATATGCTCCCACCGCGGACGTCGCCCCCCAAACAATCAAAGGTGTGGGTTCCTTTGCTGGTAGCCAGGGCGCGGGAAGTTTACGTTCCATATAGAGACCGGTTGCAGCGGTGCAGGCATTGAGAGGGACCGTTGCTGCTTCTATTATAGCTAGTAATTAGCCTCCGTGACGTGTCAACCAAGTAGACCAGAATTCTCCAATATAGGAACATGGGAGAGTCGAAGAGATTGAGAGCTTTCAACTTACCCTCAAAGGCTGTCTGAGGTCCAAGAACCCACGCGGCATTGGCCTCAATCACCGCATATTCCGCGAAACTTCCGTTTGGGGTACCTGGTTTGTGGAAGCCGACAACACAGTCTCCCGGTCAAAAATCTGCCACATCTGGCCCCACAGCATGCACAATGCCTGCAATGCCATCGCCTGAATTCATTGACATCCCCCATAGTCAACCATCTTCCTGTAACCACCAAGATTAGTTATCCTAAGCTCTTGTACAGAATTCGAATGATTCTACTTCTTACCAGTCTTTCGGATTGACCCCAGCGGCTGCCATTTTGACTACGACCTGACCTAGTCCAGGTTGTGGGATGTCATGCTCGACGATTTTGCCGACCAATCCTACAGGTTCTGGTCAGCCACTCAGTGATCTATTGATACGCCTTACACACAGGTCCGAATTACCGGGTCCGCTAATAAACTCTTTCATGGTGAATGATGACAGTGCTATTACAGTGATTGTACGAAATACGAAGCTGATGAAAGTGTAAAAGCTAAGTTAGTTGTTGTAAGGAGTTATCGTTGGACAGTTTGTCCGTACTTTGTCCGTGTCTCGCTGGCCATTTCTAGTATTATAACTAACATGTTATGGAAATGGCTCACGGCCGTAGCATTATGAGAGTAGTCTGTACCATCAACCGCTACAGACCTGAGACCTATCACCCTTTCGACTCTTTGCACTGTAGTAGATTAAGTATTCTAGTTTGAATAAATTTCGCCTAGGGAATGGGGAACATGTATTACTAAACGAGATTTCCATATTAAATTCCGTCTCTGTGTAGCAGGACACCCTATGTAACAAAAACATTTTTCGTTTAGATATTCGGTCTCAGCTAAACAACACTATGTGGAGTTAGGCTCAGTGCGTGTTAGTTCTACAGTCTCTGTCGTCTCAGTACGTTCACCTCCCACGAAGAAGAATACATGAGTTATCAAAGAAGTGTTGGAAGATAGCCTTTTTGAAACAAGCGATAATATAGTTAACCATGCGCTTTTTAGCATCGGAAGCTGCCGTATTAGGAGAGCAGCAGCTGCAGAGCGGCGACGGGCCGAGTTCCTTCGTATGTAGTAATGCGGGCCGGCTCGTTGCCTCGGGACGTACCTAAATGAATAGTAAGTGTATTGACTCCCCGAAACAAACTGTCTCCTTGTTCCGGCTGGTATCACTACCGCCATTCTATCTGCTCCAATAGCGAATACTACCTATTGTGCTACAAGGCCGAGGTTTTGTGCAATAGAGACTCAGAATGATAACTTGGCACTTCTTCGGATCAATCAAAACAGGAGAACATGATATTATATTCAGTTATTACAGCTCTATACAGCACAGATCATGCTCTTCATAGTATAGCTCCCACTCTCTACCCTAGCTTATATCATCCCCTTACTAGCGGCCCACATACATAATTTGGACTACCACCACAAAACACCCATACCTATACTAACGCCCGGGATAGGACATCTCCAGATTCCGACCATTGTTACACCGCTCTTCCTGCCACATCATTACAGAGCATTGCCGCGTTTACCATATTGATACTTAGGATAGACCATTTCCGGACTCCGAATCGCGTCATCGTAGTTCTACCGTCATTGCCAAGCATGATTAGCTCGTACCTGGTATACATAATCAGGCGGTTTTTGCACTTTTGATAGTAATTTCTTTATTTCTAATGTTTATCTTAACCATTTTAGTACTGGTATTTGCACTTTTGGCTGTAGGTTTCAAACTGTTGGTAGTGAATTTTGCACTTTTAGTAGTGGTTCTTTTTTGCACCTTCATTAGTGATCTTTGCACAGTAGGCCTGCCGGAATGTTCGACCACCAGCGAGTAGCACCGAACTCGAGTAAATCTCTGACTGTTGAATCGGCAACTTCATATCCGATATCTGTCGGTTCCGGCTCATTGTCTTGCCGTAAGTGCTATTCGAATCGCTCCCTGATGACAGTTCCTTTCCATTTACATCAGCGAATCCCAAACAAGTTCTTGTATTCCACATCGTTCCCTATCCTGCTTGTTTGTACGCATCGATCCATATACAAAAATTGGTCCTACTTAAGTTCAGAGAGGAAAGATCAGTTCAGCTTTCATATGACGTACTATGTAATCATAATTACACATTCAGTGAATATACCAGGTATGTAGGCTCGTTCTAATTGTCTTAGAGCGCTCATGTGCTACTGGCTGAGGGAGATGCAACAGCCGCGCCCGCAACACCCGAACAAGCTCTTTTGAAGGCCAAAAAGGCTGGGTGAGGAAGTGGGATAAATGACTACAGGCGCAAAACAGAAGATTGCATGGCGAGGACTGAGAACAAGCTTGATGGTTTCTTGGTCCAGGAAGTCAACTGGACGAGTGCGCCCTGGTCGTCCCATGTATTGTGGGTTTCAGGCTGGTTGGAATCTTGATTGGAATACAGAATGTTTTTTTCTTTTAGAGGGGTTGGTATACTTTTGTCCTGCGCAAAGTACTGTATAAACACTATCTACATTATGTAAAAGTCTCCTATATTTCGGCTTTAACATGTGACTGACTTAGCCTGTTTGTATCAGTATGGCGTTTTACGTGTCGTGCTGGGTCATGTAACCTAGTCTTAACACGCGCTATTTTTACTATCTCTTAGGGGAATTAAATAACTAGAAAAACCCCCTAACTACGATACTGCAATGTCCTAGTAAAACGAGTACCATACACTATGTACCTATCAAGATAAGGGTTTAACTAACACTGTACTAAGCAAGACTGCTCGCCCTTTCGTAAATCTGAAAACGCTGTCTAGTGACTTATGCTATAACTTGGGCCGATGTAGGACACAGGTTTTTATCTGGATCTTTCAGTGTCCCCCGAGATATCATGCAATTATGTTGTTCTAAGGATAGGGTACAAACTCTGCTCCAGTCGACATCCTAAAAAATACAAGAACACACTATTGATGTGTTGTCTCGTGCAGAATGTTGGTTATATAAAAGAGTTTGTTTCTCACAAATACATGTGAGAGGGATATGCATATGCTAAATTCCTTCCAGGCACACATAGCAATCGCTCAATGATTTCTAATTTCAATCGAACCATTCTTCATGTCGCCTACTTACCCCCCCTCTTCTATGAAACAGCCTTCCTCATCGGCGCCTCTCCACCAACTTCCAACCTATAGCCCTCCGCGCCCTTCTCCGTCTCCAGATCCTTGGGCTTCGCCGCCTTGGCACCCACCTCGGGGAACGCAAATGCCTTGCTTCTGCCTCCCTCAAGGCCCTTCCAGACGCCAATTGTATTCCAATTCGTCCATGTCGGCGCACCCACCCAGGGCTGCACGTTCCAACCTAGCTCCAACACCACATCTGTTCTGTTGCCAAGCTTGCCGGTAATGTCTGTGATCTGGTACTTGGGCTTCTGGTTCTGTAGGTGGAGCTCGCCAATGGGGAATGGCGAGGGTGTCTTTTCTTTAGCGGCCGCGCGTTTCTTGGCTGATTGCTTGGGGAGCTTCGATTTGGGGTCGGGGTGGACGTAGTGGTTCTGGTGCCAGGGTGCCGAGGTGGATGCGATGATGGCGTCCCAAATGATGGCTTCCGAGGGGGGCTCGCCGGCGCGGGTAGAGGGGTAAACGGCTTTGAGGTAAACGAAGAGTTGCTTGGTGTTCCAGTTGAAGAGGCTAGTGAGATCTGCGGTATATCTGTGAGTGGCTCTTCTTGCTATCTGCCCATCGCTGGGCGTATGTGTAGACGTACCGGCATCTAGGTCAAACTTGATGTGCGCATACTCCTCCCTCTTTGGCGAGTAATAATGCGGTCTGCCCTTGACTACTTGCACATTTCGTAGCGATATGCTGGCGGTGGGGTTTTGCGGCGTGATGAGACTACTCAGCGCAATTACGGTCGCGACTGTGAAAGCCACCGTGGTGAAGAAGCCAAAGGCATTCTGCAACCGCACCAGCGTCGAGTGCATGCTGTATGTGTAAGTGAGCGCGAGGCTCAAAAACGCTTATTTGAAGATATAAGCGAACTCTCTTGAGGGGGAGAGACAGGCTCGTTGAAGATGGTTAGGTGGACATACAACGTTTACCCAGTGGTCCTAACACGTATCCGACCTCTCGCGCGGACGTCGGCGCTCAGCCTTACGAGAGAGCCAGGGTCCATTTGGCGCTAGTCCCTTTTTAGTCTACTATCTATGTTGAACATCTCGGTACAGATACACAGTTCGAATTAAGACATGGACAGTATATGTGGTTTGTTGGTTATTTTCTAGTTGAGGAGAGAGTACTTGCAATACCCACGTATGCTGGACAACATCCACCCGCCCATCCCTCCATCCTGAGCTCCGGGCCAGAACTTCTAAAACGAATAAAACTCCACCTCCGCAATGCCCGTCCGCGCTGGAATGGTAATCGCAATGGGAAATCCCCCATAATCAGGATCTTCGTTTGGCATCACCGCGCTAGCTCCACTCCTCGTCTCATCACCTCCTAACGTCCGCAGCGTCCGCAGTTTCCCCGTCGCCACATCTTCCACGACCTTTTCCTCATTCCTCAGAATGCCATTAAATCTGGTCCCGGATTTGGTCGATTGACCCGTAACCTGGAAGCCCCATCCGATGAGAAGGAAGCGCGCGCCACCACAATGAATCACCATGCCACTACCCGTGTCGGGTTTCCCAAACACGAAAGCACGCTCAATGGTTATATCCCACTCGCCGAAGCGCTGTCGAATGGGTTTTGACAGATCCTTGTCGCCAGATATTTTGTCGAAACAAAAGCCTACCGACGAGCCGGGTTTTCTTTGCGCATCGAGCACGAGCTGAGAAACCTGCGCTAGCAATCCATAGTGTTTTGTAAAGGGATTGCTCTCAGGCTCTAATGTATCAATGCCGAATGGACTCGCTAGAAGAGCTTGAAACGTCCCGTAAGCTATCCAGATGCGTCGGACACCGTACTCGTCTCTTCGCTGTTCTGGAATAAAGAGTGAATTCCTGCCATGTCGATACTTGTCGCACAGAGTTGTGTATTCATTGAGATAAATGTCCGGCGCGATGAACTCGAGATTAGGTGCGAAGCGAAGCCAGATATCGAGGACATTGGTAGTCCCGCCTCCAGAAGGATAATCACCTGGCTGACCGCCTCCACCTACAACTGTAGGAGTTTCGTTGTCGGCATCCTCGCCTGCATAATTTTGCCACACGTTGGTGTAAAGCGGAATGGGATACTCCGCTTTGCCTGCTGCTGCTACCCGATCTACATAATGTGCATAGTGGTATGCCATGAAAAGCTCGTCTGTCCTGTTACTCTTGCCAAAGACCTCTTCCCAGCTCCCAGACTGCGGCTTTGACTGCGCAACGAACGTTTTGAGGTTAGCCTTGAGGTCAGCATGCAGATTGTCGTACTCTTCTTCCAGGAATTTGAGGAGATCTTTAGGTACGGGCTCTGCGAAAACGCTGTTGGCTTTTGCGCTCCCGTCCCGGCTGTCGAACAACAAGCCAACTTCGTTTTCGACTTGAACCATCAACACCGTACTGTGTTTCTCGTCAACTTCTCTGATATGCGCAAGCAACTTTCGAAACGCCTTTGCATCCGCTTCAACGCTCTCCTCGTAAAACAGTGAAAGCACATCCGCAACCTCCATCACGCCCCCAGCTTTCCGCAGCTCTGCGCGTGGGAACCGCTCCGGATTCGTCTTGACCCAGGCTGGCGCATAGGTAGATCTTCCTAACAACGTCTTGAATCAATCTCTTTTTCTCAGACTAAGCAAGTTGCGAAGCATCCAACTCACCATTCTTGAACGATCCAAACCATAGCAAAACCAAGTGCAAACCATGCTCGCGAGCACCCAGAATAACTTTATCCAACTCTTCAAAATCAAAATTTCCTTCTTCAGGTTCAATCATTTCCCAGCTGACAGACCCAAGAAGCGTGTTCACATTCGTCGCAACCATCTTGGGCCACACCTCGCTCATGAACTCTGCCGACGACAACGACGAATTCTGGAGCTCGCCTCCCAACATAAGATACGGTTTGCCATTGACGACAAGCTGTTTGGTGTTTTCATATTGCTGGAGGTGTGGAATATGCGTACTGGAAGCCATGGTGACTTGGGACTGCTCAATGAACCTAGCAAATGTAAAGAAGAGCAATTGGATTCAAGTTTTTGTTGTTGTAGTAGACAGCCATGGCTTTAAAAATAGTCAGTTGTTTGAGTTACATTTCTCCAACGGCGAGTGGAGTTCCGCGGGGCTTCTGCTCCACGCGGGGTAATGCTCACCGAATAGTAGTAGCAGATGGCGATGACATCTACCGGTGCTAAAACCACGGCCATTTGGAGAGCTCCAATGCGCTTCTATTGCGTTAGGGCTGTGAATAACAAATGCTTAATCAGTTCCATCAACTAACAGGTCCTCTCTTTAGCATGTTAATCGTCAATGTTCAAGTGACGAGTAAGCCATAATGCTCAATAGGTACATAACTACACACCATACCAACATCGGAACTAGCGTCAGACTACCCCATCACATCCCGGCCTTACACAAGTGCAAGGCCGAGCCTCCAACAAGCCGCTTTCCCATAGTCACTTTATGTAAAAAAGAAACAAATCATCTCCAGGAATTCACCAACTCGCTCAAGCCCTCTCGTCCCCTAACCTCACTTATCAACTTCCGATTCCACCCCCATACCATCTTTAGCCTCAGGCCCATAGCACAACCCCTCTTCCCAACTCCCTCCATTATCCATAAACACCCCTTAGCACCATTCACATAACCAGCTGCAAAAAAAAACACCGTTTCCCCCCATCGCAGTCTCCAGGCCTAGCCAACTACACAGCTCCAAACCGCCCAACCAAAAAAATAACACAGTAATTCGGTCTATCAGAATGAACCACATACATTCCTGTACCCACATCCCTCGCATCAAAACCCCTAATTCACCATGCCACGTACTCCAAAAGTCATCCCAACACACCCAGATTATCGCCATAACATCCCTCATTTAAACCCCCCCCCCCCCCCTCTCTCTCTCTCCCTTCAACCCAGCCTGCACCTCTCTACCTTCTCCTCGCTCCCTCTCCCCCCCCCTTTTCCTTTCCCTTTCCATCATACAGAAGTAGAAGAAAAAACAACAAACATACCCCATGACATCCTCTCATCTCAGTCCTCTACTACGTACCACCCGCCAGAGTCCCGGACATAACCGCGCATAAATGGAAGAAAGAAAAATGTAAAACTATTGAGGCTACGGGTATCGTTCATGTTCCGGGCTGCACGGAAACTCTAGGAAGGCGGGGCTTTGAAACTGAAGGAGAAGAAAAAGATAGCTGCGATGTTTTGTTGGGGTTTCGCGGAAGAAGGTAAGAGGATGGGGATGGAGAGGAGATTCGAATTTGGTGCGGAGCGGGTGAGGATTTGCTTTGCTTTATACTGTGGCGGTTTTGGTTAAGGGCGGGGGTGAGTGGGGTGGGGTGTTAGCTGAGGTTTATTTGGATTGAGGAGGAGATGTAGAGGGATGGGTGGTTATCTTTGATCTGGCGAGCTGCGAAAGGTGTTATGGGGAGAATGTGGAGGATAGGTATTGGGTAATACGAGAAGCCTAGTGTGCAGATTATGATAGATGCATCTCGGATTCTTCTTGTAGGAATTTTAGTCTTGTTGTTTCTTTCACGTTGTTCTCAGAAAGTATGAGATACATAACAGCGTGATACTATCTATCGATTTATTCTTCTTATTTTGACAGCCTATTCTGTTCTTCCACCCTCACGTCTCCATTGTACGCCACCGCTCTTCTCATTCGAGTCCACGTCCAAGTCCAGGCGACCCACTTGTCGATTCCCGTCAGAAACCTGCAGTGGGCAGCGGCTCTTTCTTCGTTTGATCTTCGGTGGGCTAACAGGCTTAACAAGACTACGTCTCTTACTTGTCACAACACCAGTCGGAATGCTGGAACCGCTAACAGTTGGGCTGGCTGCTTCTGGTGGGGCCAAGGCAGTCACCTTCTCTGTAATACTTTTGCATGACCTTAATTCGCGAGAAGCGCGTATACCCTTGGCCTGAATGCTTTTGTCAACAGAACCCTCAGAACTCGACGAGTCTGTATCAACATCAGTGTCAGCGTCAGATTGCATCTTCTGGGTCTCAGAACCATTAGACACAACAGGGGATTCAGCCTCTGTGGACGGGCTCTGCGGCGTCTCTTGTAAAGGACAAGGACGCGTCTGCTGTGTCGTCTTCTGCGTCGTAAACTCTCTCACAGCGGTGTTCTCAGACTCATCTCTCTCCCTGGCATACTTCTTGACCAACAATGCGACATCTCTCGCATGCCCGTCAAGCTTATCCGCATCAGGCACTGAAAATCTCTCCTGAGCCATGCGCTCCAGGTCTTGCATAGTGACTGCATCTTCCCACGTCCTATCATGGTGAATCTTCTGAACCCGCGGATGACGTAGCATCTCAAATGACGCATGGGGCGACTTGTCAAACCCCCCTCCGAGAATCTCAACAATCAAGGGATTCCTGAAGGCGACAGTCATGCCCCGGCTGTAGTAGCAGTCCCTGAAATTTACAATATCAAATTCAGCAGTGGCGCCACTCTCATGCAAAGTGGTCTGACGGATATAACCCTGGATGTTCAGGTACTTTGCGTCAGACCTTGGGATACACTTTTCAACGCTCAAACTAGCGACGACAGTGAACCTTGGCTTGGCCCCTGTTAGTAGGACCGCATCCCTGTTAATGCAGCATCCCAGGTAAAAGTGTGTCCAGTGTAGAGGCTTTAGATTCGTCTTCGTTGCAGCCTGCGCATCAAAACTGGCTCCAATCACAGCGAAGTCGCCCAAGTCTCGCTCACCGCCCATGTCACCTAAATAATCCTTCTTGACCTTGATGAAGAAACCTGTTTGACGCTGACCTTGCTCAGATAGCAACGGCAAATAGGGCGCTTGCAACGGTTTCAGTACCAATCCTTCTTGGCGATCGACTAGGGTGCGGGCGAATGTCTGTTTAAGGTCTGTTAAGCCATTCCCTGTCTTAAAATCCAACAAGGCCCACTCGGATAGCATGGACCGACCTGGTATGACATGGATAAGTTTGTGAAGGATTTTGCGGCGGTCTTCGAGGCAGTGACGCAAAACGGGCTCATCATCTACAGTCAAGACATCAAAGAAGACAATCATGAGATGTTCCTGTTGATGCACCGCAGAGCTGTTTAACGTGACTTTGAAGGATCCCGAGCGTGTGACGTACTTGCGAATCTTCGAGAATGGCAGTATCTTCTTCTCCTTGTCGCTGTATACCACCATTTCGCCAGTAACGATACAGTTCTTTTTGAACAAGGCATTTGGCTGGCCTATACCAAGAGCGTTGCGAATTGTGTCGTGCAGAGCAGCACGATCTGCAGTTGCATCTTTGCCATTCTTGGAGAAGATTCGCAAGTTGCTATTTTCATTTTCCAAATCAACGTGGATCTCGCAGTACTCGCCGTCGTATTTGACTTCGGCAGCCCAGACGCCATCGCCGACAAGCTTCAAGCAGTTGCTGAAGGACCATGCTTTTAGGAAGGTCGGTCGCCCAATCTTGACGCCAACCCTGGCCTTTAGTCTTTTCGCTGCCTCAATGCGCATGGGTTCCTTTTCCCACGACTCAGGCACGGCCGGATAAGAACTAAGTCCACCTTTGAGTACATCAAAGGCTGCCTCGTAGTCGTTCTGAAACGCCAATAGCTCCGGTAACAGAAAATGATAGTGCCGCGTTACAACTCTTTCGTCCAATTCGATAGTGCAGTAGTCTCGAAGTAGAAGGCGAACTAGCCATTTTGCTTCCCAAGACTCAAGCCTTGTGATGATGCTTTTGAGTTCATTGTCGACGTCAAACCCTGGATCACGGTTTCTTCTGGTTTCCTCGCCAGAGAATCTACAACTGGCAGCCAGCTGTACCAACAGATAGTCAACTCTTTTGATTGTGATGTCTGGTTTACTTGAGAAGGTACCATCCCAAGGCTTCATGGCGCGTTCGACGTACGCGCCTAAGTCGCCACAGGTACCCGTCTTCCAGCTTTCAAACAGCGTGCGCTGTCCATGACTAAAGGTGAGTAGGCGTGAGAGTTTCTTCGCGAGCAAGGGCGCTTGCAAACCGTACACGCGGTCTTTCCTTCTGTGCGGAAGTAAGATGGAGAGCACAGCCCCGCCATCCGTATCTGGATCATCAAGGGCAGCTCTTTGATTTTGGAACCAGTCCAAAACAGCCTGATGGATGGCCTCTTGTTCTTGCTTTGGAGGCGGTCGCGGTCCATTCGTGGAAATATCCTCAATGTCTTGCAATAGGCTACAGACAGCATTGAACGTGAGGCTCATAGTCGGTCCTAATTGACAATCCTGCCGACAGCTGATATTGGGTCCTGAGTCTAGATTTTTGGAATCCTTAAATGGATTCGACTGTCGATGCCCCGGCCTGGTGTCAAGTGGGCGGATGTGACTGCGTCAAGAAACGCCGAGCCGGAATGCCATGGGTGCTGCACTAAGACTATGTCGATCCACCTTATCTTTCAAGATCTAGGCACTGAAGCCGAAAAGGTTCATGGCCGTTCAGCGTATACTCTCATCAGTATCCTCACCATAGTCAAGCAAGTATCACCAGGGGCGACGCCAACCGTGCCAGGATGGCCCTTGACCTAAACGTGGACGCATACACTGGGGTCAAGAAATGTGATAAGCAGGGTAAATAGATATATCGGCAGGCAGGTTTCAATACGAAGAGATGAGACGGAAGAGGGGACAGGCACGCGCTGGATGGATACAAGAAATCGCGCTAATGCGGGGTAGTATCACGGGATCTTCCGTACGTAGTATAGGTACTTGCGTAGATACGAATAGCACGCCAAAGTGAGCAACCGTAAGTCCGATTACTGAGCCCTGGCACGATCGTCTGGGTCTAGTTCTTTGAGACATTATCGTACCTCTATCGCGTTTTGTCACCTAACAATAATATGACTTAACAGTGAGCGTATGTAGTATGAGTTCGCCGGGAATGTATACGCAAAAGTGGAGATCATGCCTACTAGTACGTACCTTAGCATCCGCGATGAACCGCTACTACTACTACAATTCTTTTCGTGCCCTAAATATTGGAATAAAACCAGCATCCACTGCCACACAGAACAAAAAAGTAGATTTCGTGTGTTAAAGTGTTAGAGTGCTAGAGATTTACGTATAGATTGATACGCTTTCAGTAACAAATCGTATGATTCTGTAGTGATGGCGTGTAGTCGCACCCCATTGATATTGTGCTGTTTTGGTTAGAGTGTAGTTTCCATCCGGGTATTATGGTCCGCCGAAAGCCAAATTGGATTCGACCCTCAGAGCAGCCAAATGTACTATAAACTGACGGAGCTCGTTCTCTCTTCCTCTCCGATCGAGTGAGGAAAAGACCTGGGTACTGAAACTTGAACGCGTAGAGCCGGGTAAAAGTTCATTAGTTGCAACTGGAGATTGATAGGTATATAACTTCTGCTCTATAGGAACGGTGGCTGCGGCGCATACTGGCAGAGTTACAGGCTTGAGGTGCACAATGCCTGGCCAGCGGGACCTCATTGGAGACCTTTGGTCGGAGGCATCCAAAAAAAGACCTTGTTCCGCGTGGCGACTACAGGTCATCACCCGCCGGAAAGATTACCTTCTTCGTACTCTGCAGCATCAAACCCGTTCTCCAGTATTCGACCTTAGCGCATGATTTCGGCACAAGCGTTTTACATCGCGTGGGAGTACGAACACTACCGAGCGGGCTGCCTGCACAGACAGGCATAGGGCTGATCGATGGCCTAGGCCTGTCACCCTACATACTGGCTGGTCTCGCTCGCCGTGTCAACTGGCTCGGTGGTCAAGCAGAACATTTGGGTCACAACACTATCTAGGGACCGGATGACAGTAGGTTCGGCGGTTGCGATAGCGATGATGAATGCGGTGTCGAACAGTCTGAGCACATATGCCTCTGTCACTTCTATTTCGTCGACGTCGACGGAAGGGGGCTTTCCACAACCGGCACTACTTATTGGGAGCACGCTTTACGTAGCTGGTATCTTGACGGAGCTTGTTGTGGAGATTCAACGCGAACGGTTTAAAGCCGATCCACACAACAAGGGTAAGGTGTGCACGGGGGGCCTGTGGAGTTTGGCGCGGCACATCAACTATGGAGGATACATGATGTGGAGAGCGGGATATGCAATGGCCGGAGGAGGATACCGGCTGGGTGTCTTGGTCGCAGCCTTTTGGGCTTGGGATTTCAGCTAGTGGGCTACTCCCGTTTTGAGCGAGTATTGCGAGAAGCGGTACGGTGCGCAGTGGGAAGTGTATATGCAGAAAACACGGTGTAAGCTGATTCCCTACGTCTATTAGGTTGACGATGGGTGCGAAAATAAAAAGCCGTGAATGAAATGGCTTCGAAACGATCTGTGCCTTTTGTCGGCCCTAGAGAATTGACCTTTACATACCCGCACCCAAGGCTCCACGTGCACAGTCGTTCCATTGCCGTGCTCGCTAACCACTAGACAGAGTACCAAGCACCAAGATGGGCACACACACACGAGCCATTGCTCTGCCTGCTGGTGCTGACGCGCCACGGTACCATATCTCCAAGGGTGTTTTTGTGCAACAAAATATTGACCATCACAATCAATTCATAACCATGACAACAGCTCTCACCACCGACATGGAGCAAGCTCCGGATGCTAGCGGGCTGGGAACCGGATCATCTGACAGACCGGATGCATGCTTATTTCCCAAAGCGGCACCTCACGATAACGATGGCAGTCTTGGAGATAGGATGTCCAGTCGTCGTAGCACGATGCAGGTGCAGTTCTCGTTAGCACGGCATTATCCGCGCCGCAAGGCGGCAGTGCCTCTCACACCGCCCGTGAGTGCAAGCGACGCACTACTGTAGGCTCGCACGGCAGGCCTCCAGTCGTGGAGGCCTTTTTTTTTCTTGTGAAAGAAGGAAAAGGGGTGGTGTGCGATCTAGCATTCAGCTAAGAGATCTGCGGACGTTGTGGCACCTTGAGAACCCGAGGGCTTGGGCGCTACAGGCGGTGGCCGTGGTGATAGCAGAGTGATTTTTCGTGGTGGGGGTGTGAGAGCACGAATCATGGCGCATCGCTAGGGACAGGCGGTTGACGTTTTGGTAAGAGCGCAGCGCATGTTCGCCCGAGTCGGCGATGGCATGGGAAGGGGGGGTTTGTTTTCATAGACGCTAAAAAGGCGGCAATGTTGGCATGTGCTGACACATTCATGGGTTTTCTGGTTCAGGACAGCAACGCATGCAACGCGGGGTTACGAGCACTCGGACGTCGAGGGTAAGCGATGATCTACGGAATCCTCAGCGTTCAGCTTTTCAGGGTCCTTTGATTTTTTTGCGCGGCGGCAGCTGGCGAAAATGATGATGGTCCAGGATATATGGCTGTCAGTAGGCGATTACGGACGCCACAGCAGCAAATTTACCAGCGTGCTCGCGCCATTCGCAGCAATTTCCTTGAAATTTCCAGAAATACATGTGGCAATTACCGGCATCTCCACAGAACTAATTATCGATAGGCAAGCAGAAACGCATCCAATTTATCGATAATGGTCAGGAGAGGGGTGTGGGGTGTTGCTAGATGGTTCCGCGGCGACCGGCGCCATTTTTTATCGTGCGAGTGATGGAGGTGCGGGTCAGGAATGGCCGACAGTGATGGAGACGAAGAGGCTCAACAGTTTTTTTTTGAACTGGGATGTTTTTCTGGGCAGGAGAGATCACGATCTAAGGGGATGGAAGAGCTCTAGTGCTGTAGAGCGGGGAACGGCTGGTGGTGCATCGGCGTGCATGCAAACCCCACCTTGAGGGTAAACACATGTTGGTTAGCGACCAGGTAGGTGTAGTCGTGGGTAGGGTAGGCGAGTGTAATGCTGGGCAGTGTTGCGGCAGCCTGCTCATGCGCACACGTCTTGTCGAGGGCAAGACAGGCACCTGCAGCTGAAACGCTCTATTTTGAAGCGGGCCTTGGTAGCATCCCGGCAGGAGGGTGCCGGGGTCATGGTAGCGATTGTGAAGATTGAGCCGGTGCTGGTGCTATGAGGCATTTGACGTTGGCTGAGGTCATGACCTCGACGTAACCTCGTATCGGCCAGACCGGCGGCTGCTGAGCATGAAACACGGTGTACTTTGTGTAGTTATCTACGTAGGTATGTATTGTGTATGTGTGTACATGGAGCAGGCAGTAACGCTGGGAAGACGGGCTCTGGCCGGGTCGGGTCTGGTCAGAGGTAAGTACAGTGGTGCAGCTCTGGGGGGGCTCGTATGCGGTGCGACGTTTAAACAAGGTGGATGCAGCGGAGACGATCATGCAGCAGCAATGCTCGAGCCACGTTTGCCGATGATTCGACGCGGCAAGTGAAAAGGGTACTTGGCTGTTGCAAGGTGTAGAGTAAAGTAAGTAGCAGCAGACAGAGCAGAGCAGCGGCCGGGTCCAGGATGTTCGGCATACAGGGCCCAAGGCAGTAGGTGTATGCCGCCGACAGACAGGGCTCCGCTCTGCAGTCTGGACGCCTGGACTAGGAGTGAATGGCGTGGTGGTATAGGAAGTGCAGCACGGAGTAGCATGGACATGTGTGCGTGGCATGCTACCACCTCAGCGACGGCGCTGGAGGCGAGAGGGATTCCGGTTTTCAGGCGTTAGCAGGGTGACTATGGGCTGGGGGGTGAGGATGGCGTAGCATGGCACCAAGGCCTTTCGTCATTGACGGTCGAGTGGGTGGAGCAGAGAGAAGTGGTTCCCACCCGCCGGCTCACGCCCTCGCCTTTCTAGCGCCGTCGCCGCCAACGGCAAGGACGGAGCGTACCCACGACCAAGATATAGTACGAGACACGGCGGCTGCCTTTGCCTCTCTGCCTGCACTGTGCCTGTGCTGTCGTCGCTGTTTCTGGTACGACTACTGAGTACTAGTAGTAGATGCGCCCGTCGTCCTGCATGCCCGCCTATTCCCCTCCCCTCCTCTGCTACTGCTGCTGCTGCTCGTCCTTGACCTCGCCATTCACCATCGCCGCCGCCCCGTGACCCGCGTCCCACTGCTGCCAGTACACCCACACCCTGCTTGTCCTCTGCCGCTGTCGCTGCCGCTGTCGCCGCCCACGCTGCCCTTCTGTCGCCGCCGTGACTCTGGATCCGACTAGCTGCGAGAGGAACAGACCGCATCTGTAAGTCAGCTTTTGGCGCCGTTCTGTTTTGCACGATGCCACCTTCGCATCCGCTGCTTGCACCGCACTACCCTCGCTCGCTCTGCTTGCAAGCATCAGCCCGCCGCCCTTCTGGGCCTCAAACGCCCGCCCGGCCCGTGTTGGCCTGGCTTTTTGCTTCCTTCTTCCTGTCGTGTTTTGGTACTCTAGTAACCATCTCTAGCTTCCCTTGCGCCACCACGAGTCCTGCTATTAAGGGCCTCAAGTGCCGCCCGCCACTGCCTGTCTCGACTGGGCCTCGTCCACATCGCTGCGCCCCTCAGCCTCACTCGTCTCAATTCCGCCGCGGGGTGATTCGATAAATTTCCCCGCTGTCAAGCGTCGCCGCCTTCCTGGTCTTGGTCGTCGCCGCTGCTCCGTCTGACGGCCGTATCCCATCAGCATCACTAATTCCTATTTTCCCCCAATTGCACCCCTGCCTCAAATCTCGTCAAATCTCCTCAGATCGTCCGTCGTCGCCCGGAAGCACTGGGAAGCCACTTCCCGTCCAACTGCAAGGCTGCATCCCACGCTGCTGCAAGCGGGGCGCCAAGCAACCGCTGCCGCCATATCGCCATCGCCAGCTACAAAATAAACGCCGGCTCCTCTTCGCCGTCGTGCGCTTGGACGCTGCCAAAACCATATTGGCCTTTGTGTTTTTTCTTTGCTTTCCCGTGGGCGCAGTCACTCCTGACGTCAGGGCGCTGATTCGTGTTTCAACGCACGCGCGTCGGCAAGCGAGCAAACAGTAGTACCCAAACCCAAGATGCAGGCCGTCATGGCGCAACCCCCACAACCCTCCGCCTACGGGGCCATCCCTCTGCGCCGCAAACCCGTAACCAACCCAGCCGTAGCAGTGCGACCTGTATCCCAGGCCTACAACGACAACCAACTCGGCCACTCACGGACACGAACAACAAGTTCTGGCGTTTTCCCAACTCCCTCACCCACTACCGCAACCATGAATTCGCAATACCCAACCCAGTACCAAAGCAGCCTCCGCCGCACTCCCACCTCATCCACCAGCTCGACCAACGGCACCCCCAACCGCTCCAACAGTGGCGCTCTTCGCCGCTCTTCGTCAACGCGTTCGGGAGGCAATTCGCCCACTTCATATGTCGCCCTGATGCGCAAGCAAAAAGCCACTGTATGGTGTGATCGCGCCCAGTACGAAGACCCGCGCATGCTCGCCCAGCAGCGCCAGGCCAAGATGCGAGCAAACATGGAGGTTGCAGGCGGACCGCACCACGCTCCACCGCGCACTGCTACGGGAGGTTCAGGCATGACCGGCGGGGTCCGGTCCAAGATTGGCCGTCATCACGGCCTGCCAAAAGCATCATTGTACGCTCCAGTCACCTACGCAGGATCCGGGGTACCGATGCGGTTGAGCGCTTCAGAAGTAGACGAGGGTGACGACGAGGATACAGGCTCAATGAAGAACGGCCAGTATCACCACCGCACTGGCTCCGGCCGCAGCTCCCTAGGCTCAGGCCGCCGTATATCTTACGCCAATCCAACCGGTCGCATATCCTCCAACAGTACACCGCCACAGAATTCATCTCCTGACGGCGAGCTTGCCGACCTCAAAGAAGAGCCCACTCCTTCACCTGCCGAATATGACCCCCACGCGCCCAGCGACACTAGCTACTTCCACCACACAAAAACAAACGCGAGTACCGGCAGTGGGAGCAGTGGAGAGCGCAATTTTGGCGAAGTTGGTCAGATGCCTGCGCCAGGACACTTGAGGGCCCCTGTTGTTACAGACAAGAAGGTCAGCAAAGACGATCTGGTCAGGCGAGGCAGTGTGGATGAGCGGACTATGACCATGGGTCCACGACTGTTCGTTGCGAACCCAGACCTCAGTGACTAGTGAACGAGGACAAAGAGGCTGTTTATTATTTCTGCGATACCCGAAACACCGATTTTACTACTGATACTGAGCTTCGTGCATGAGTACACCATACTAGAGGAGAGCAGGTCATTCCACCAAATGCGAACCATTGTCAGCAGTCTTTTTTCTCTCCTATTCTTTCGTTTAGGACAACAGCGTTGTCAAGTATTTGTTTTCTTTAGCCGTTACTTCTGTATTTCTGTTTGTTTGAGCATCTGCAAAAGCAGGTTTGAGGTATTGGGAGTTTTGGCTCTTTTCTGCTTTGGATACGCAGCTACAAGATGGGGTTTTGTATCGTCACAGCAGTGACTTTTTTTTTCTTTATCTGTTTGGCTGAGACTCAGCGCATATGGCACACCCTGGTGGTTCGCTCGCTCATCACCACCACTACACCTCTGTATATACCACACCACACAACAACCGCCATGGCCGCATCTGCTCCGTAGGCAACGACTGATTGATTATACGCATACATACATACACACACACAACATAAGCATAAACACTATACCATTATTCTATTGGCTGCTCATCGCCTCGTTTGCATGCTCGAAATACGATCTGTCCCCACCTGTCTTCGTCATATGTTTCCATATTAACGTCATCCCCTCGGCAGTACACCAACTCATCCACGGAAGTGGAAGTGGACTCTTGCCGTGTGCGTGCAATGCTATTAATGAAATCATCCGGCGACTTTGCGGCGCATGGATAAAGGGGCAGTGGCAACAATTAAGGCTCGCCCGAGCCGAGTCGATCATCGCGCGCGTACCTGCCAAGACGTCTGCCCGTAGCCGACCATGTGCAAAGTCAGGGTGGCGAGTGGAAATAAATCGGGTGAAACCGTGGCTTGTTTGATACGAAGAAGCTGACAGACGTCGGGTAGAATGGTTTGGCCATAGTTGCGATTAATTAGTTTTGAATCAAGATTGTCTGGGTTGGCGGGAGTCGGCCGTGGGTGGGGGGCGGCGCTGGGGATCAGGGTCCAGGGCAGGGCTGAGCCGGACAAAGTTTGCAAAGAGAGATATTTCCATGTCGATTGAAAGGCAGGGGGTTTGGTAATATACAAGAGAGATGATGGCGCGTCTTTGAAAGTGTGAGAACAAACTGAACCTGTTGCTTGGCTTTCAATATGCTGTTAATCGCCGGCGGACGAATAGCACCGTCGCCTTTCGCGGCGCGTACTATCCCTGCCAAGATGTACGAACATGGTAACTCACCGCAACAGACGTTCACCACATCCGCAATCACATTCTTACGTATGGAGGAAACAATCCTCCAGCTCCCCAAATAAGCTCCCCGGAACAGTATATACCATGGCACATGCCAATGGCACTGCGAAGCATGACGCGCCCCAGAGAATCTTGAACGATGCAGTCGGAGTGACCAAAAACAAAGATGGCCATAAAAAAACTGACTACACAAGATGGAGGCTGAAAGCCGATCGTGGATGTCAGACATGGCATTATCTGCAGACTGACGAGGAGATGAAAGCCTGGCCGCAGAGCACCGCCGACAAATACTTCCTAGGCCTCGACACTGTTTGTTTAATTCCCTTCCTTCAGCCACCCCGGCATGGCTAAACACTAAGGTTTCAACATCCCCACTGACTGGTGTAGGAACAACCAAAACTCAAGCCTGCAAGGACACCCCTCGAGGCTGCGGACAATGGCCTCACCTTCTTCTCCCAACTCCAACTCCCGCCAGGCAACTGGGCCTGCGAATACGGTGGCCCAATGTTCCTGCTCCCCGGCCTCGTCATCGTTTGGTATGTCACCGAGACACCGGTTCCAGCCTCCCACGCAATCGAGATCATAAACTACGTCTTTGCGCGAGCACATCCAGAAGATGGTGGGTGGGGACTACATATTGAAGGCGAGAGCACCGTGTTTGGAACGTCTATGAACTACACCGTGCTCCGTCTACTAGGCGTGGATGCTGAAGATCCGAGGATGCGCAAAGCGCGAGAGACGCTGTGGAAGCTGGGTGGCGCACTCAACGCGCCACACTGGGCCAAGTTCTGGCTGAGCGTCTTGGGCGTGACGTCCTGGGACATTGTCAACCCATGTCCGCCCGAGCTATGGCTGCTCCCAGACTGGGTTCCTATTGCGCCCTGGAGGTGGTGGATTCACATGCGCCAGGTCTTCCTGCCCATGTCGTACGTCTATGCAAAGAAATGGTCGTATCCGCTCAATGACCTTACCCGCCAATTAAGGGCGGAGCTGCTCATGCAGCCATTCGACACCATCAACTTTGGAGCACATCGGAACTCGATTTCGCCCACAGATAACTATCATCCCAAGTCTATTTTCCTCAAGGTGTTGTTTTGGTTCATAGTTGCTATATGGTGGCCTTTTCTTCGCACTGAGCGATTAGCGAAGCGTGCAGAGGAGCATGTGCTCTGGCTCATTGAGGCCGAAGATGAGAATACCAACTACTCAAACTTGGGCCCGGTCAACGGTCCCATGAACACATTGTGTGTGTACATTAGAGACGGCCCTGATTCTCATGCCGTCCGTGAGCATCTCAAGACACTTCCAGAGTTCATGTGGGTCAAGGACGAAGGCATGCTTATGAATGGTACTAATGGTGTTCAATCATGGGACACATCGTTTGTGATCCAGGCTGTCGAATCGTGCGGCTGGTCCAAGGAAAAGAAGTGGGAACCTATGCTAAGGAAATCACTCGAGTTCATGGAGGACCAGCAAATTCTTGAAGAAACCAGAGATCAGCACGCATGTTACCGCCAACAGCGTAAAGGTGCGTGGGGCTTCAGTACACGCAAACAAGGATATACCGTTAGCGACTGCACCTCAGAAGGACTCAAGAGTGTCTTGATTCTCCAAAAAGACAATCAATACCCCCAACTCATCAACGAGCGCCGCATGAAAGACGCCATTGACGTCCTCCTCACCATGCAAAACGCCTCTGGCGGCTGCGCATCGTACGAACCTACTCGCGGCAGTGTCCTCCTCGAGCATCTCAACGCCGCCGAAGTGTTTGGCCGCATCATGATCGAATACGACTATCCTGAATGCACCACGGCCGTCGTAACCGCCCTGCACATGTTCCAGCAACACTACCCCGACTACCGCTCAGCCGAAATCTCGGCCTTCCGCGACCGCGCCGTAGCGTACATCCGCGACGCCCAGCGGCCGGACGGCTCCTGGTACGGCAGCTGGGGCATCTGCTTCACCTACGCCGGCATGTTCGCTCTCGAATCCCTCAAGTGCTCGGGCGAGCAATACGACAACTCGGAGCGTGTACGCCGCGCCTGCCAGTTCTTCCTCGACAAGCAAATGGCTGATGGCGGGTGGGGCGAGACGTACAAGAGTTGTGAAGATGGCGTTTGGCGTCAGCATCCTCAGACCCAGGTCGTGCAGACTGCGTGGGTCATTATCGCCATGATTGAGGCTGGGTTTCCCGACAAGGAGCCCCTGCGTAAGGCGGTCAAGTTGATTATGCAGAGGCAGCAGGAGAATGGAGAGTGGTTGCAGGAAGCGATTGAGGGGGTGTTTAATAAGTCTTGGTGAGTTTTTTTTCTTTCTCTCTCTCTTTTTCTTAACGCTTCTCTCCTCCCCCTTTTCTTCCTATTATGAATCCAAGACTAATGAGGATATTAGTATGATTTCCTACCCCAACTACAAATTCATCTTCCCCATCAAGGCGCTGGGTATGTATGCCAAGCGGTTTGGAGATGAGGCAATCTTTTGAGAGGTAGGAGGGGGGTGAGTTGAAGAAGGCAGTGTGAGGGGGAGGGAGTAGTGAGTGTGTTTTCAAATAAACGAGGCCGGGTGATAAGGGTAATAGAAATGGTAGATGAATAATGGAACGAAGTAAGTAAATGGGAAAATCAATTTTAATGCACTTTTTTTTTTGGAAACTTCCACTCTTTCTTTCCTTCTTTCTCCTCGATCAGTTCAGGTTTTTTTACTTTTTCCTTGAATGATTAACGATTTGCTTTTTGTTATGGCTGATTTGCAAGGTGTTGCACAACGATTATCCATCTAAACATTAGAATTATCGCTGCTTGCATAACTTTTGTTTTTTTTTAGCTTGGGTCTTGCAACAGGACAATTTGTGTTGTTTTGACAAAGTTACATGGGTCTTCTATCAAAACTTTTTTTCTTTTCTTTTGCGAGTTATGGGCCCTTAATCACGCCTTTTGGGCCAAGACACCACACTGCTCCTTTTTACGTATAGTAAGAGAGGGAGACACAAATTTGTCTTATCTAGTACGGCTTGAATCTAGCCTTGTCCTTGTCTTTCTTCTCCTTGCGCTTCTTTTTCGTCGATGCCGCGGCGTCGTCACCTGCGTGCATGTCTGCGCTGTCTGAAGGCTTCCACGCGCGGATCTGGCTGTCTTCGCCACAGGTGTATGTGGTGTGTGTCTGGGAGATTTTTGGGGTTAGGGACGGTGTACGAAGTTGATGATGGAAGTGAAGAGGTGGTGTAGCACTCACGTGTATGTCGGTGAAGAGGTCGCGAACGATTTCTTCGCCGTGGGCGCCTGCAAGTGAGGTGGCGTTTGCAATATCGAAGGCGTAGTCCAAGGGGCCGTTTGTGCCTTTGGTTATGGGTGTAAGGGTGGCTTGTTTTTCGCTATGTGTGATCCTTTAGTTCATGAAACTGTGACTGTAGAGTTCTTGTCAGAACGACGTACCTGTGTCTTCCGGCTGCTATACATGGCTGCGCGCCAATCCAGCACAAATCAATTACATACTCGCAGCCCAACTCTTCTCGAACGTCACCGCACACCTTGGGCGCTGGCTCCTCTTCCTCCTCTTTCTGGCTCTGTAGCGCGTAAAAACTCACCGTCTCGTCTGTGCCAATGGCGTACATGTCTGTGCCGGGATACAGGAAGCCTGCATGGGCGATAGCGGAGCCGTGGTTAACGACTTGGTACAAAGCGTCGTCTTCATCTGCCTGAGTGCTGTCGAAGATGTTGACGAGACCGTCTGTGCTGGATGAGAGGAGTAGGTTTGGAAGGGAAGGGTGCAAGGAGAGGTTTGTCACGGTGTCTGTGTGGGAATCTATGTAGGATCGTAAGGGTGCTGAGAGATTGCGCTGGTCCCTGGGAATAATTTAGTATGACCTGAGGGCCGATGGGTTGAAGACGTGATGGGAAAATACCAGATGTAGACTGGAGAGCTGTTGGGTCCGTCTTCTGGGTTCTCAATGCCGGCTGCGACAAAGTTCTTCTCGGCATCGCATACCAGTGCTGAGATGAGCTTGTGTGCTGTACCGCTCGTCAACTGCTGCCCCGTAAATCTGGAGTATTTAAAACTAACGGCTCTCGATTTGCAAGACCCTTTGCTTGCTTCGCTTGTCCCAGAATCTAACCAATCCATCTCTTCCTGCAGTCGCGACTACGTTGCTGGGCGCATCATTTGCTCTTTCTAGACACGTGATGTTGTCGTGGGCCTTGGCGATGTGACCGTCGGGTCGTAGATCTGCTGTCAGAAAGCGGAGAGAGTCGTCCGATGATATTAAGGCTAGTTGGTCGGTAATAGAGTAGGTAAGAGGGTCTTGTCGTGGCGATGTGGAGATGATCTTGTAAATGTATGAGCCAGCTGAAAACCCGGCGTCGGTGCTGGCGATTTCTCTAAAAGGCGCCATGTCGAGCGAAGCTAGAACAAGTATTTGGTATCACCAGGGTCGCGGCGAAGGTGTAATTGTCACGGACGATGAGGTTGGATTGCATTAAGGTGATGGGGAGAAATTTTCACAGCAATGAGCGCGAGGTCTTTGCCTCACCTCATGTCCAGTGCACATCATGAGTCCCTGTCATTCAGGGTCGCAATTGTAATGTCTCGACTGTGAGAGCAGGGCGCATTTTAGATGAGCATGTTCCCTGAAAGGGGCATAGGTAGTAGGATGGTAAACTGACGTAGGCGCGTCCTGATGTTCAGCACAGAAATTGCCAGCACTACTCGTCACATCATGTTGCTTCACAGCCAGCGACACAGACGCCATCTAAGCAGACAGCAGCATCACCAACACATGACGTATGTATGTAGCCTTGATATGAAACTCGTGCAGACACAGCTTTCGTCGACACAAGCGATTAATACAGGCAATCCCTCTCCGATCCCTCCAAAAGCCCCATCCGCTGACATAACGCCAGCAGACAAAGTAGGCCGTCACTCCTGCAGTTCAGCACGTCAAGCGCTCATTGCCGGCGATATCGAGGTTCGTTGGAGAAGAGGAAGAGCATGGCGGGCGCACGCGAGAAAATATCGGATGTCAGCGAAGCGAGTGACTAAGCAGCGTAATGCGGATCAGCTGATTGGCCAGACGGGGGACCTCGGGAATCGGGAAGATTTGGGCTGGCGAAGGGTAGCACGTGTATTGACGACGACATCATTCACCCCTCAACCACCTCTCGACCGACAGTCAATTGCTATCGGGACACACCATCATGGCTTCTCAGCGCATTTTCCAGCTCGGCCTGCGACGCGCAGCTGCGCCAGGCCTGAGGGTGCAGCCTGCGGGACGCATGGTTCAGCGGAGGTATGTCATAGCACCCTGCAAGAGCACCACGACGAAGCTCTCCTCAGCCACCCATCCACACCAAGAGCCATAGTAACAAACCAATGTAGACTCGCAGCGACCGAGCATGCCTCCCAGTCCCAAGCTGCTGAGATCCTGGCAAAGCAGCGCATCAACCGTCCGGTCTCGCCCCACCTTGCCATCTACAAGCCCCAAATCACCTGGATTGCCTCAGGGCTCAATCGTATCACCGGTCTCACTCTGTCTGGCTCTCTTTACCTCTTCGGAATCGCATACCTCATTGCGCCCTACACTGGATGGCACCTCGAGACACAGTCCATGGTCGCGGCCGTTGCTGCTTGGCCCGCAGTGGTCAAGGCTGGTGTTAAGACTTTCTTCGCACTTCCCTTCTTCTTCCACTGCCTCAATGGTGTCAGGCATTTGGCTTGGGATATGGGTGTTGGTTTTAAGAACCAGCAGGTCATCCGTACTGGCTGGGGTGTTGTTGGATTGACAGCCATCTCGACCATTTATTACGCTTTCCTGGCATAAACGAGCAACGGCTGGTTTAGAGCAAGATTGGTCTTGAAAAGAAAAGTCGATGAAGAAGTGGGGATGGTTGGAGTGCGAAAGGCCGTCGGACTCTAGAGGCATCAAGCAACAATGGGAACAGGAATGGGGCACATTTGGAGCGGTAGTGAGGAATCCTACATGTATTGTGTGTATTTTGAATCCAACATAGCATGTGCAGCCACATGCGAACAAGTATCAAGAGTATTTCATTTTGTTTCATGTGTTCCTTGGTTATATGAGGGACTGGATTCAGTTAGAATCTAGTACTTGAGCATTGCGGCATGGAGCAAGCCTATTGTACTCCTCGCTAACCCTACGGCACGTGATTACGTGTCGAGTGTGCATCATCCAATTGGCGCGTAACCGTGTCGGTTGGATCCGAGCGGCAAAGGCGAAAACCAACATCACAGTCTTTTAAAGCCGCGGTCTGGGATGCGTCGTTGCAATGGAGGAATCACAGGCCTCCACGGCGCTTGGTGAGGACTTGTATGATGTGAGCTCCCGTCTTGCACATGCATTGAGTGATGAATAGCGCGACACCTAACCCCGGTCGCCGATCATTCACGTCGCTGAACTGACGCCACTTTCAGGATCCATCTCAGCTCTCCCAGGCCCTTCGGCAACGGGCCTGCAGCGACAAGCCATTCTTCTTCACCACCTCGACCGAGAGCCAGCCATCGGACAGCCACGGTCACAGCCATAGCGCCGCACCCTTCTTTGATCGCGGTGCTTCCCCACGACGCGCCGTCCATGCGAACCATGTGAAACCCGTTCTGCCCAAACATCACAGCGCACCCACGAGCACAGGCAACCCAAAGGAACCGGTGGCGATACCAAAGATGTTCAGCTTTAATATGACGGATGCGCCGGGGGATACGCAGCCTGACAGCCAGATGCTCAAGACGTGGACGAGCGGAATTTATTCAACGACCGATGCCAAAGACATTCCCAAATCGCTCTTTGTTGAGCATGGTGACGAAGATGGTGACGACTCGCCTACAGACGAAATGGATGTTGTTGCATCGAGCCAGGACCAGCGCATTCCTACACCTACAAGCCCTACCGAAATTGGTGACTTTGCGCAGAACAGCCTCGCACCCACAAGTCCGCTCAAGTTTCAGACACCCGCATTGGCAGGCAGAACAAGAGGCAGCTCAGGTCCAATGCCTAGCTCGGCATTACGGTCGAACACGACGCCTGGCACCGGCACTTCTGCAAACTTATTCTTTCCAGCACTAAGCCATGGAGGCGAAGGGGTTGCACAGCACATTTCCCTCACACAGGCCTTTAACAATACCCAGGCACCCACTTCGCCTGTAATAGGTGGAGGTGCAACTGACGACATTATCTTTTCACGCCCTTCTCCCAACTTCTCACACATACGGCACTCGAGTCCGATACCAGCGTACTCGAGTCAAATGAAAGTCACCCAACCCGAGACGCCGAAATCCGACCCTATAGTGCGATCTTCCAGCCAGCCACGCGCTGAGTACGTCACAATGAAGCAATCACAGGAGAGACGGAAATTATCGGTAGGAGAAGAGCATGGAGCCCTCGTGGAGCAGGACAGCTGGGAAGAGTTGTCTCGCAAAGTGCGGGCCAAAAAAGCAAGAGAACACGCTCATCGCCAGGCTGCCAGGTCCTTATCCAGTGTCTCAGCGCCAACCCCTGTGTTATTGCGATCGGCTAAGGAACGAATGAACACCGACTATCCGTCCCCCGAAAAGTCAAAGACATCGCGAAGCGGAGTGCATAGTGGAGTGGACGACTATGACGTGACGATAGATGAGCAGTCACAACCTGTCGCGGAAAATGAAATGAATGAACACAATGCCGATGAATCGTCGCAGCAGGTGCCTGATACCGCACGGACTACGAGGAGACGTAACAGTAGCGATAACAACGTGCAAGTACCCAAAACCTCTTCGCATCCTCACTGGACTCCCTCAGGCCCACTTTCACGAGACTCCTCTCAACCAAATATACAACCTTCATTGCTGCACCGAGAATACCAACTACAAGAAACCGGATTACAGCACAGTCTCCATCAATCATTCCAACCGCAAAGCAGCAGAGAATCAGTGGCCGTAATGGACTCTCAACCAGACGTCACTGCCGATTTCGATAGTGTCCCACGACCAAAATCGCTACGCTTTCCTTCATCACCATCAACAAACCAATATAGCATCAACCAGACGACAATGGCTACCAAGACGGGATATACAAGCCAGGTCATTTCATCTTCTATACCTCCAATGCCACCCAAGTCGAGTGGCGCTGAAGACGAAGTGACACCCGAGGGCGAAGAGCGGGTACCCAGCAGCCCGCCACTTCTGCCCCCTGATGATGCCGAGGCTGGAGATGGAGATGTGGAATACGATGAACATACGTACGACGAATATACAGAGGGAGTTGTAGAGCAAGAAGGGTTGTTATCCCCAATAATTGACGAGGGTACAGCCATGGATGAGGAAGACGATCTGCCTCTAGCAATGCAAGAGCTTGTAGGTGAAGACAACATGACAGAAGACCAAGGAGTGTATTCAGAAAAAGAAGAGCTCAACTTACTCAAGCCTGCGGAAACACATGTGAAAGCCGACCAAGTGTCAGGGACTTCGAAGAGTAGAGATGATGCATGCACTAACAAACAACGCGGGCCACCACGTATGCAGCGTCAGGATACCATTCCAGAAACAGATGCACTCGAAGAGACGCAACCCTCGTTCTTCCCATCCAAGAGCTTGGAAGAAGTTGCAGAGGGTGATACTGTTGTTGAGAACGAACCGAACGGTAAGGGCCTTCTGCAAACGGCCAGAGAAGATCGTGACGGATCTCCTTCCAATATGCCAGCACCCATCGGTTCAAATGACAACGGAAGCGATGAAATTCTAGAAGGTGACCGCATCCGGTGTTTGGACGATATCTATAATCTTCCTGAGACTCAGCATTCAGCAAATGAAGAAGATGTGGAGATGCCTAGACTGAGCGGGCTGGAGGATGATGACGGCGATGTTTTCATGCAGCGATCTTCGCCAGTTGCGCCATCTGCGAAGCGGCGCAAGGTCACATACATTGCCAAACGCAAAGCCTTTCGGGATTCACCGAGAGCGACGACTGATACAGAGTCGCTTTCAGATCCTCCTCCATCGCCTCATCTCAACCAAGTCCAACTAGCACTCGAGGAGACCCAGCCAGCTATGCTGCCTCATGAGCGTGAAGAACAGAGTGTGCTTGCAACGGTCGATACAAGAGAAGAAGAAGCGCGGCCTTCCTATACGCGAACGACCTCATTGAAGTCCAAAGTTCTGCCCAAACCCTCTAAACCTCGTAATCAGCGACAGGGTGCATTGAAATCTGTTTCAAGAGATCTTTTACGAACCATGTCTTCACCTGTACAATTGCCCACAAGATCAGGTGGATCTGTTCGTGCCCAGACTAGCAGCCCAGTTACGCCTACGAAATCTCGGGAAGCTGTCGTGAAGCAGTTAACAGACGTCGACATGGCCGACGTCGGCAGCCAAACAGCCGTGCCTGTTAGCTCTGTCGCCCAGCCGGCCGACTTTGAGAAAATGGATGTAGATCTATCCCAGAGAAGTACAACTCCACCTGAAATTGTTGTGCCAAATAGGGTTTTCGCATGCTGGCCAGGAAGCCACTATTACCCTGCTACGTGTATTGGTCGTGCAACAGCTCGCCAGCTTCAGATTCGTTATGACGACGGTAACATCACATACATGGACGCGGCACATGTAAGAGCACTAGACCTTCGCAAGGGTGACCAGGTCAAGGTGGATGAGCCGGGTATGAAGAAGAACGCGTACGTTGTGGTGGGGTTCAAAGATAAGATAAATGATCTTAGCGGCGAAGAGTTTCCAACTACTGATCAGCGTGGGCACATGACAATCATTCTGGAAGAGAGGCCAAGGGAAAGTTTACCACAGGCCAAAGCGCTTCAACCATCTGCACACATCTCAGTACCCATGGCAAGCATCTACCTGACCGCTTCGCTCTGCAAGCGACTTCGCGACCGATCCTTTGCATTGTCATTAATGATCTCGCCAACCAAATCAGTCTCACACATAGGTACTCCTATTGCAGACCCTTTGACTACTCCTTCATTCACTCGGCGCGGAACGGCAGTGTTGTCTTTTCTAAAAGACGTTACCACACGAGCTGCTTCAGTAGCTTCAACAACCCGATCTAGCAGTGGTTTATTCGCAAACATGGCTTTTGTAATCACTTCCACGACAGCGGATGTGGACAAAGATAGCGTCACCAGACTCATCAAAAGCAACAATGGCCAAGTACTAGAGCATGGGTTTCACGAACTCTTTGACTATGAGCCAGAGGAGGCCCCACCATCTTCTGAGAATCGTCGGATATCAAGTTCTACTTTCGAGGGATCGAATGGCCTGGTACTCAAGCAGGCATATAAGGACCTAGGTTTTGTTGCACTTATTTCGGACGCCCACTCTCGCAGCACAAAGTACATCCAAGCTCTCGCCCTCAACGTTCCGTGTTTGCATGTTCGTTGGATTCACGACTCACTCAACGCTTCTCGCGCTGCCCCTTTTACACGCTACCTCTTGCCCGCCGGTGTCTCAAAGTTTCTCGATCCAAACGGCGTCATCCGCTCACGCACAATGGCCCCCTACGATCCAGCCAGCGAGGATACCACTTTTGCGCAGATAATCCAAGGCCGCGACCTGCTTCTACGTGGCCAGAATGTCCTTCTAATAACTGGCAAATCAAAAAAGGCAATCGAGAAACGCCAGCCGTTCATCTTTCTCTCACATGCCCTCGGGTCCGCAAACGTCGGTCGCTGCACTGATGTAGCAGCTGCATCAGACATGCTTGCCAATGGTAAGTGGGACTGGGTTTATGTAGACAATGACGAACACGGTGTCACCGAGGCTGCGGCTGCGTTACTCGGCACAGAGAAACCTGCAGCTGTAAGTGGCAAGTCTAAGAAGGGGGGGAAGAAGAGGAAGAGAGACGTTGATGGTGAAGCTCAAGAAGAACTTTTTATTAAGGGAGATCTTGGGAACAAAACCGTTAGAATCACTTGTGCAGAGTTTGTCATTCAGAGTTTGATTCTAGGTGCGCTGATCGAAGAGTGAGCTGTCTGTCTTTTCTTCCTTCTTCGTCGCCCTTTGGTATGTGTAGTAGACGGGTCTTTTCTTCTTCTTCTTTTGTCTATCTTCTACGAGCGCGTTTTGTGTCTGATATGAGTGATTTTGGCGTTTTGTATTCTCTTCCTCTGTGGACAAAAAGGGAGGGTACTTGAGGGCATTTGAAATGTGCCCTAGGTGTGAGGGTTCATCTCTTTTCTTCACATTATATACTGTTCTTTTCCTCCATGTACTATTACCACCACATAGCATGACGAACAGTCGGCTTCTTGATATCATTTTGTTGCTTCTGTTGCTTTCCTGATATCGTCCTAGTGCATAGGATTAGTTCTATGTTCTCACCCGTATAAAGAAAGTCTTAGGGATGACAGTAGAGACAGCGAATACAAAATATTACAGGAATCTGTCCCTCTTCCCTAATGCTGCACTACCTCCCTCCTACATGCCCAGTGAGTACAGTTTTGTTTCCTTCTGTTGTAGTTGTTGTAGTCTCATTCATCTCTACACATTACGGCATCTGACAATACTCGGGTTACACTCGCTACTCTTTCTTACGGCCTCTCGGTCCTGATATCTGCTTTTCCTCTCGTTTTTAGTCACACAGACTTGCAGTATATATTAGTAGAGTTAATGTTGAAAAAGACACATGAGAAGAAAGGACGCTGCAAAGACTTCTATCCCAGTACCCTTGCTAGGCATACGATATCGTTAAACAATGAATTCTAAACTAAACACACTGCTACTGGCTTTTCTTCCTAGCTCCACAATCGCCATGTGCAAAAATCAATGTAACCGCATACTACCCAGAAGACAAGCAAGGAGTAACAAACCCGACATGCCATCTCCCCTCTCCATCCCCCCATGCCCACTCATCCCTCGAATTCCTATCACACCGCTCCCTCCCCCTCGGCACCTCGGCGCTTCGGCGCCCAAAGTGCACAAAACGACCAGTGCTACCCAACAACCCCTCCCATGATCAAAATTACCAAAACGAACACGAGTGCGTCATCATCCCAGCCTAACCGGCCCATTAAACATGTCATCTATCTACATAACCTAGAGGACTTATGTACAAACCTACATAACGCACGTCCATGCTCCAAGGACTGAAAAACCTGCACCTTGTATTTACCCGCTCGAACCCTTACCTACATGTACGTATACTTGTCGACAGATATATGTGCACAACAGATGAACGTGCAGTAATATCCTGTGTGGAACAATGCTTACGCCTGTCTACGTCAAAGAAAAGCACAGAGCTCGCAATGTATACTACAAAAAAAATTTTACTCTCGTAGGCGTAACGCTCTCATCAACTATTTCCCTACTATGCAAAGCGAAAAAAAAAAGAAAACAGTCTTCGTACTATTCCCAGCATACACACGCGTACTATAGCCTTTGCATATTAACTGGGCCCTTTGAATCAGATTACGACTAAGTATAGTAGCAACAACAACAAAAAAAAAGCCGCATGGGGCTAGCTTAGCGGGAAAGCTGTGATCAATGCCCGGACTTTCTGTCTGTCTGTCTCTCTCTTTCTCTTGCTATCTCACTCACACTCACACCCAGAGAACTAGAGAATACGTAAAGTAAATTAAAAAAAAGGTTTGAAAAACGTATGATGCCAAATACAAACAAAATGAGCCCACACCAAACTAGTGTAGAAAACCCCTTGAAACAGTGTAAACGTAATCGTTTTTTTCCCTCTCTCTCCCATCTGTCACAATCTTTGTCATAATACCTTCGTATTTGCCAAATTAGCTGCCCCCCCTCTTCTTTCGGGGGAGGTATCCACAATGACCGCTAAAAAGGCAGACAAGAGAGAGAGAAGAGAGATAGGCAAAATAGGGTAAAACATCGCAACTAAGTTTTGATCTTTAACCATGGCGCCGCCGCATAGACTTCTGACAGTTAACCCGCTT